TCCTGATGATAACAACCTAAATTTGGGTTTACTCATACATGGTGTCTAAAAACAGCCATCTGTGATTTCATCAGTCCTAGCGGTGCAGTCAGCAACATCCCTTATCTGCTGTTACTTCATTACTTTATGAAGTTTACTCCTTCTCCTGCCTGTCTTGGCTTGTAATTGCCTGGAACATGTTACGGTTAAATCTTTGACCAAAGGTAACAGTTAAGGTGATGTTAAGTTTTCAGAGAAATGCTGTGGTTGAAAGGAAGCCTGATGATGTCGCCCGCCCTCGTTGTGCTGTGGGCGGAGTCAGTCCCCTTGCCTCTCATTGGCTGTGCTATGCAGGAAGTGCTTGCCAACCTCAGAACTGATGGCTTTCAGTGTATGCAGACTGAGCCGTTAGATAGCCGACTAGACAGATTAATTTTCTTATCCAGTGTAGCCTTTTTTGTCTGCTGCTGTTTGAAAACCAATAACCCAAGAGCACCGACTTTGAGAACTATGGGGAAAGATGAAGAAGACGGTCTATTCCTTCAAATTGAAGATACCACCCTCAAAAAGTCAGCTATAAGTTTCAAAGAGGATGTTTTTTTTTTTCTGGTTCACTAGTTGGTGTACAGAGGAGCCACAAAAGCAGTGACAGATGCCCCAGGACGCTCTCCAGTGGTGCTTAGTGCAGCGTAGGCTCTTTAAACTTTTATACGGCCCTGGTTGGCGTATGCTTGGGTTGCTTCGCGCAGTATGATGACATAACACTCATCGGTAGCATTGCTAATGGCGCGCTCTTGGACAGTGGGAGGGGCTTAAGGCTTGACCCCCTTCAAGTTAGTCATCAGCTTACCCCTGAAAGTAGCCCCCCCCCCCCCTCGTTGAAGGGGCTGACAATAAATGCTGGTCCCTCCTTAATTATTGAGAAGGTTTTTCAGTAACCCCCATAAACTGGAGAAACCAAGTTCGCTTATACAAAAGGGGACATTTAGTTTGGTGTGTAGCGGCACGCCTTGTGACCTGCAGATGGCTGCGAGCTCTGGGCCAGGCAGGCAGGCATCTGTGGGCCGCCTGTTTTTCCTGTGGTTGTCTCTTCACTTATTTATCAGCGTGAAAAGCGTGACTGCAAGGTGGCAGTCAGAGGATTGACGGAGCGAGACTCTGAGACGACAAGGTAATCCTGCGAGGCTATAGCGCTGAGCCCGGACCTGTGCAGGCCAGGAAGCTGCTGGATATTGCTCTCGCACGTCTGTCTGACTCCTCAGACTTGTTCTGATTTGTTTGCTTTGTTTTTGAACAAAAAGGGAGTGTTTCTGGAAGGCGGGATGGACAGGAGTTATTTTTAGAGCGTTGCTGCGAGTTTGTGACATACTTGGTGTACAGAGGAAGGATGCATGAAGGATATGGTGACAGCAAAACCAGGCAGACTTCTCCCATGATACAGAGCTGGAGGTCAGACTGTGGAAACGGCCTGTAGAACATTCTCTCTCCTCCTCCAGAACTTTCCTTTTTGGGTGATCTGAGAAAAAAATAATGATTTGTGAGACACCAGCTGTTACATCTTTTTTTTTATATTAGTTTGTAAGACAACTCCTTTGTCCTATTTTTGCAGTTGTTAAGAGTTATAGCAGAGGTAAGACTATCTGTACAGTTTCATCTCTGATATGTTTAAAGTCCTTTATCGTTTCCGGCTGCTTTTCTGGGTTATTTTCTAGATGGTGAGAGAGCCGTCAATGGACCACAAACTTCTCTATTCCATGGGAAAGATTCCTCACTGCTTCTCTAACCACTGGTAATTAAGAGGTGACCCACCCAGTCAGAAAATTACCCCTCTCGAAATGATAGGTTGTTTTGTTACTTTGTCCCTGTCTTGTAATTGAACCAGTAGAAGGTGTTTGTTTTGCACTGAGCCTCAAAAACATTTAATGTGATTCCTCTCGCAGTTTGCGCACAAAGTCATTCGGTCAGTTGAAGGTTTACTTTTTGCAGCAAATTCATCTGGCGAGAAAGACAGGGTTCAGTGGTGGTATTGTTATGATTGTGTAGCTGCGACCGGCACACTTGGTCAGTCAATCCTACAGGCGACTCAGTCGCTAACCCCTGAGGGGTGCGGCCTTAGCAGACGATGCGGCGCACCGTCTGAGTCAAAGTGAAAATGACTCGCTTCTGCCTCTGGATACACTCGCACTCTGCGGTGCCGACAAAGAACGGCTACGCTGCCCAGCTGGTGCCCTATCGCTGCTGTACTCCTTTTGGCTTCCAGGACTCTCATAGCCTCCAGCTTATGGCCTCATCTCCAGCTGCTGCCAGGCTGGCTTGACTCTGATGCAGGATATGAGCTCTGACACGGCCCCCTGTCTGCTATGGGGCTTCCTCCCAATGCCCAGGGCAGCCCTCTGAAAGGATGCAATAAGTAAAATGACTAACCCAGGGTGATGGAAAAAAAAAAGAGGTCTTCATGTAATTGTGAGATATTGCTCAAGTTGATCAGCTGGGAGGCTATTGTCTGAGCACTCTATAAATAACCGTCAGGATGGCAAAACAAGGACATCAGCAGTGCAGCTCAGTCAAGGAAGCCAAAAGCTGTGACGTGAAAAGGTTTGTACCTTTGGACTTGCTCATTATGCAGCATTTCAAGTAAATCCTTTTTTTGATTTCTGCTGCAGTTTCACGACTGCCGTGACATCGTCCTGGGTGGAATTAGCAGACAGGATGTCAGCCTGTGCCTTTTGAAGACGGTCAGCGATGTTTTGGGTTAGGCTTCCACCAATGAGACTAGTTTTTCCTGTCCTTTAATCATTTCTTTTTTGTCTCCTTCAGTATAAAATTATTGCTGAAATGTCACTTGCCATTCCGGGCTGGGAACTTTGGCCTGTTAGAACATACGTTGTCCCGGAAGGTGGTCAGAAGAGCTGTGGAGAACACAGAGCTAGTGGTGTTAGCCTGCTTTGTGGCCAATGGCTTCCTGTGCTTAGGGTAATTAATACAGATCCTTCCCAGAATTCTCGCTGACCCTCCTGTGTTTCCTGGTACGGTTCTTGTCGACTTGAGTCTCAGTAAGATGTGCCCCTGCAACCTCTCTGTAGTGACTCATTTACGACCCCTCAAACCACCTGAGTTTCAGAACCCGTTTAGCCTCTAGGCCTGCAGCTCTTCCATAGGAATTGCCTGTGAAAGGTCTGCATCCTGTTTCCAGCACGCTCTGAAAGCGCATAAAAAAACCCCACAGACCTCCTGGTTATTCGGGGAGGAGCCATGAGCAGATTATAGCGTATAATTTATTTGAGCTCTTTCTCCAATTAATTGCACATTGGCTAATGTTGTTCTGACTTGATTTTGTGGTTCTAATCAATAATAGGGACAATGGGTTGGGTTTCTCTTGTGAGAGTGAGCGGTCCCAGAAGAGCCCTGCTAATTGTTCCCATGCCGGAAAGTGCTTGATTGTTGTCCCTGACAAGGGCAGAACATTTCATAATCACTATAAGTGACAAATGTGAAGACTCACTGCCACAATGGCTCACTGCTTGCTCCCATAATTCACCAGGCCATGTGAAAATACAGAAGCTGTTCTAGGATGGCTTCTTAAGTGATTGGGGCAGACAATTACAGTCTCTCAATATTCATAAGTAGCAGTTAAGATTTCCGCATGATAAAAGGGAGCTGTCAACATTCACTGGATATGCAATGGTGTAGCTTCATTCTAACGTCTCCCGTCATCACTGTATTGAATAGATGACGTGTGATGATGTGTAATGGCTGATTAGTAGGGCTGGGTGATACAGACCAAAAACCGTATCTCGTTATCTTCTCTGAAATGGGCTAAATGTTGAGTTGTAAGTCAAAAATACACATGAAATGTCACACTATTAAAACCATGTGTGATCAAAACAAGTAAATAAAAAAATACATTATAAAAATATAAACTCTAAACTTTAAACCTAAGTGTATTGCAAATATTGCAAATTCTGACATTTTTATCATCTGAGACACCTTGCAATTTTTCTTTAAACAGAATGAACCACATAACAATGACTCTGCCGTTCCCCTCCGTCCTCTTCCCAGTGAGTCACTAAGCGAATGCTGTGCTTTTAGCTGTGAATTCTGGGATTCTGTGCAATGTTATGACCAAAGATCTCATGCTGCTTACAACCAGGAAGGAATTATTGGTGTCTATTCAAACTCTTTAATAGACTCCTAATTTCAACATGATAAAACTATATCGATATAAATGATATTGTCTCATCCTATATCTTATTTAAGAATATATTGATATACCATAAAAAAACAATATACTGTCCAGCACTGTAAGTATTTGTAATATATTTGTATAGCAGGTAGCAGTTGCAGTTTCTGACCCTTAGATGATTATTTAAAAATGTAAATGAAATGGCTAAGTGGAGGCCGGTCCTTTGTGTCTGGTAATGATGCCTCTGTCAGGCCATATGTATCACTCGCCCCCGGCAGATGCTTAGTGCACCTTTGTACCTCTGGGACAGAATCACACACCATATTATTATTAATTTCCTGCACAGACACATTTAGATGCATTAATATTCTCATTTTAAGCAGATTATGTTTTTTTTATATATATATATGTTTTTCTTCTGTGCTGCCATGCTGAGTATGTGCTGACGTATCTCCAGCGGGTACCTCCTAGGTGTTGGACTGACAGCCGTTGCGTCGCCCTTGTTGCCTCCTGCCTTAAGCCAACCGTGTCCTTTTGAATGGGGTCTGATGGTGTGTCTGTAAACTTCACATCCAAACAAACGGCTGTGTTGACTGGCTTGGAGACACTGGCCTGACCTTTCTGTGAGAACATAAGGCAGCGAAATGATTTTCCAGAGAAACCGCCGTTTGTAGACAAACCCGAGCTCTGGTGTCCACAAGAGACAGGTGGGAAGTAGGCTGGAATTAAGGGTGTGCAAAGTCTCTTACCACTATATTGCTCTAATTTATATTTCTGCTTTACTTACTGTACAAGCATTAAGTAATGATGTACTGTTGTCTTCTGTGTTCTTTTCCAGAGCCTGTTGATGGAGGTAAATTTTTTATAAAATCATGTAGCTGGATGGACAGAAGGGAAAAAATACCGCTTTAATACCCAAATTAGACACAAATGGTGAGAAGCATTGATTTACCTTTTTGCCTTGTTTTTTTGTGTGTTGTATTTATCTGTAGTGTTCCTTTGATGTGTTGATGACTGCTGGGAATTTAAAAATGTAAAGCAAAGAGGAACCCGAGAAATCGGAAGCCAATGGCAGACACTTTGCTGGGAGACGCACCCAAGTCGCTCAGTCGTGGATCTTTTGTGTACCTCCCCTGTGCCCAGAATGTCCGGCATGCTGCCAGGGATGCTGCGGAGCGTCGCCGTGCTGGTGCTGCTCTCCCTGCCTGGCAGCAGCGTGCTGGCAGGCGCAGGCACCGGCTACCCCTCCTTCTCCCGCAGTGACACCGTTTTCGAGCACCTGGCCCTGCACCCTAATCCGGAGGTGGGCACGGTTTATGTGGGGGCTCGCAACCGTCTTTTCCAGCTGGACCGAGATCTGAGGGAGACACTGGAGGTGCTTACGGGGCCGGTGAATGACAGCAAGGAGTGCCTGCCCCCCATCACGGAGACCAACTGCCCCCAGGCTCGCATCACCAGTAACCACAACAAGTTGCTGCTGGTGGACCACTACTCCCAGCAGCTGATCAGCTGCGGAAGCGTCAACCAGGGCATCTGCGAGAAGCGCAGCCTCGCCAACATCCAAGAGGTGCTTTTCTCGGCCGAGAGGCCCGTGGACACACAGTACGTGGCGGCCAATGACCCCCACGTCTCCACCGTGGGTCTGGTGGTGCGGCCGCGCGCCAAGGTGCCAGTGCTGTTCGTGGGCCGGGGCTACACCAGCAGTCACCCGCCCATCTCCACCCGCAACCTGGCCTCCGAGCCCCTGTTCTCCTACGAGGAGACGGCCAAGCTGGCGGTGGCCGGCCGGCTGTCCGAGTACGACCACCACTTCGTCACCGCCTTCTCCCGCCATTCCCACGTTTACTTCCTCTTCTGCCGGCGGGATCTGAAGTCCCCGTCGCGGGAGTACAAGACGTACGTGTCGCGCATATGCCTGGACGACGCGTCGTATTACTCGTATGTGGAGGTGCCCCTGGAATGCCACTCGGCGCGGCGCGGGGTCACCTACAGCATTCTGCAGGCAGCGCATCTGGGCCAGCCGCGCGAGGCTCAGGGCAGGGAGGTGCTCCTAGGGGTGTTCTCCACCCGCCTCAGCTCCTCCGGCTCCCCCAGCGAGGACTCGGCCCTATGCGTCTACTCCCTGGAAGACCTGGACCAGCAGATCAACTCCACACGGGACGTGTGCTACACTCAGGACGGCCGGATCCAGGGGAGCACAGAGGTGGCCTACATTGAGTACGAGGTCAAATCCAACTGCGCCAACCTACCCTTGGTGAGGCCTGCCTTTCCACCTGTAGCCTGAACACATTTCACTGATATCACATGTAGCCAGAGGTGGACATTTCTGGTCCAGAAAGTAAAAATCCAGACCAAGATTTTGTTTCAGTCAACACGTTGAGTACTCTGTGACTGTGACTCTTCATGCTCAGCTGGTTGGTTGAAACAAAATCTTGGTCTGGATTTTAATTTTCTGGGATTGTACAGGCAGTGACAGTTGAAATTTTACAGTGTCCTCTGTGCATTTAAACATGGTTACAGTTGATGTTGTTTTGTCAAAGTTATTTGATTCCAAATAGTTTTTTGCTAATGGTGCTTAATTGATACTTTTTGCTCAGCATGGTCAGAAACAGCTGTTGAAGGCTGAAAGCCAGTGAGCCATGCGGTATTGAATGACCCCTGTCAAAAGCTGAAGAACGTGGGCCAGCCTGTCACCTGCGTACTCGCTGTTCTCTAGGTGCAGAAAAAGGACAGCAACCCATTGACAAGAAAAGCCAAATAAAACATTTTTCCTGTTTTTCCTGCAGTTGAAATCCGAGCCAAATAACCCAGATTCAATTTTATAAATAAGATAAAAACAAAACAATATTTTGATGCTCCTTTGCTCTGTGTGTGTGTTTGCACGTATAGTTTGTGGTTTCATACAATGCCAGCTTTCACACTGCTCATGCGTGACTGAGGATTATAGACCAGATATGGCGAAAGGATCCTCTCTTTCAGTGGAAATATTGCAATATATGAATGAACAGAAAAAAAGGTTCTTATATGACCCTGATTGGGGAGAGTGGTCAAACACAGTAGAGACAGTAGACAACTTTTTAAGTGGTTTGTACAAAGTAAATTAATGTGAGGGTGTTAATGCTGGCATAAGATGCTAAAGACTAGAATATTCTTTTAAGTCCGGTTGATTGGTATGCAGCAGCCATCCCTACATCTCCTGGTGCTTACAGAATGTCCTGGTGTCAGCAAAGGCAGGTATTATAATGAGGCTTGAAGTTGCCTGGTGGTGCAGATGCTGCAGGCTCAGGCTGTGCTTGCCCCCCCCCCCCCCCCACAGAACACCCTGGCAGCCTTCCCCTGCGGCTCGGACCACACCCCCAGCCCCATGGCTAGCCGCGTGCCTGTGGAGGCAGAGCCGCTCTTCTACAGTGCTGGGGGGCGCCTGACGGCCGTGACCGCCAGTGTCAGGGAGGGGCACACTGTCGCCTTCCTGGGGGATTCCAGGGGGAACCTGCACAAGGTAAGCAGGCCGCAGAACATAAGAACATAAGAACTATACGAACGAGAGGAGGCCATTCGGCCCATCGAGCTCGCTTGGGTGACGTCCTTCTGCAGATGCCAAGGTGCCCGTGCCTCGGCTAACAGGACTGTGTATGTGTGTGGGGGGGGGTAAGGCCTGTTACTTCTTAACTTGTAGAGATTTTTTTCAGGTCAATTTTATATAAAAAAAAATGTGATTGCATTCAAAAAACTGAAAATTGCCATAAGATTAGTGCTGGGGGGTTAAGGTTGTCATAGATGAGATTCGGGGTTGGCCCATAGAGATAAATGCCCCATAATGGTATTGATACCTAATCTATGTGTGTGTGTCCCTGCTTTTGCTTAAAGAATGCTGTAAGATGGGAATTTACCACAGCTCTCCGCTCAGGGGTCCGTCATGCCTGCCTGCCTGCTTTCCCTTTGTACGTTGTGCTGTTTTGTGCTCATGCTCTAAGGTTCTCTCTGTGCATAATCAGAGACCCTGTTATCCTTCACCTTTCCCTGGCCCAGTTAGGGCCAAATCACAAAGAGAATAATAAGAAATCTTAAAGAAGACATTGTGTTTGTCTGGGTGTTTAACCAGGTGATGATACCTCTGCCACCTGGCAACATGGTGATTGACTGCAGAATTGCAGTACTTCACAGATGCCACATAAAGCATACTGGGAACAAGTATTTAGTAGTAACTTGGTTACTACTGAATTACAGGTCATGTCAAATATAGTTACTACTTGAGATAAAAGATACATCACAATTCATTAATGATGAACAAACATGAAATCAGTATTTCACTTGTGTTATTCATGACTTGTTCCTTCAGTAGCTCACAAAGGTTTATAGAATTAACAGATACAGTAACAAATACAGTAACTGCTTGGGATAAAACATGCATAACCATTCATTAATGATGAATTAGCATGCGATCAGTATGTAACTAAGACTTAGTTTGTAGTTAATTAATACAAATGTTATACCATAGTATATTATCTGTGCCCCGTCAAGGAAAGTGTTACCATTGTGGTTATTTATACTGTTTTAGCATTTTTTCATAAAATGTTCTTATCTAATGGAAGAAGTTTGCTATATGTCACACTAATCTGATGTGTCATGCAGTTGACTTTCTTCTGGCTGTAGAGTTTGAGTTTCTGGCCGGAATTTGACATTTCTTCTCATTTACTTGCGACTCTGACGCTGAATGCGATGTCCGTGGAGCACTCTGGCCTTGATGGGGACGTCCTGGCGGTTTATATCTGTCCCTCATTCTGCAAAACGCAGAACAAGAATGTTTTTGCTCATGTGGCATTTGAGAGGTCTGGTAATGTTAATAAGATGAAGCGTGTAAATTTATCATGGCATATTCCACTCAAACAAACACGCAGAGACAGCCACGCTCTTCATGTAAGAATTTGTTTTTACAAAAACTGAACAGCATTCTGGGAAACAGCAGTTACAGTACCATGGTGCCTGACAAGCAAATGGTTACCAAATAAAATAAAATGTTCCTCAAATAGTTCGCAACATTCACCTTGGACTGTGATAGCCAGACAAACACATCTGTCTCTTTCTCTATGATACAGCTGTTCTTCTGCCCTGTTGCACAGTGGACAAACATTAATATTTGCATATTTGTTCATTAAAACAACACTGAGAATATGGGCTCAGTACTTTACAGTAACAAAAGAAAAACACCCCTAATTTATCCAACTCTCTCTGACCTCCAGAGGACCGTGATCAAACACGTTTCCAGCACAGCTGACCAGACAGAGCCCATTAAAAGGGATGATCTCATTACTGACAGCTGCATCCCGTATCATACCTAGACACTCTGCGGTGTAACAGGAGGTGTGGTGGACACACCCGCCTCCTGTGTATTCCTCCATTAGACTTACTGCTGCCGAGGTTGAACGAGGCAGCTCAGAATCCATTATAACACAATCAAACCAAGTAACCTGAGATCTTAAATGTCTGCGTAACTTTATGATCTAAGTCCTCATGCAAACTATTCCAAAGTTAAAACTACATTATGTTTCATTCAGATGTAACTGAAAACCTCCAGCAAGGCAGTGGTCTGAAACTCCTAACTAGTTTAGCAGCGCCAGAGTGAGAGTGGATGAACATCTGCTGCGGCAATTTGTCATTATGATCCGACATTATTCTGGATTTTTCTTTACATGTTGTGTTACACGGCAGTATGATGTGTAGTTAATGCCTCAAGTTATTTGGCAGCATTTCAGGGACCAGAAGGCTGCTTCAGTAAGAACCCTGGATATTGTACAGTAAGGTGCTGATGCTGAAATGAATCCTTTATCTATGTTTTGTATAAATAATTTGAAAGTTCTTGCCTTCTGAATAGGCAGGGGTGTCGCGTTTGTTTCCAGGTGTTTCTGGGACCTGCAGGTGAGGTAGATAACTACGCCAGCATCTCTATCCAGCCCAACGCAGCCATCAGCAGCGACCTCCTGCTGGACAAGACCGAGAGTTACCTGTATGTGATGACCAGCACGACGGTGCGTGTGATTGGCCGGCTGTCGGGATGGGGGGCAGCGACAGGGTTCTGCGATTGGCCGGCTGTCGGGATGGGGGGCAGCGACAGGGTTCTGCGATTGGCCGGCTGTCGGGATGGGGGGCAGCGACAGGGTTCTGTGATTGGCCGGCTGTCGGGATGGGGGGCAGCGACAGGGTTCTGTGATTGGCCGGCTGTCGGGATGGGGGCCAGCGACAGGGTCCCCCAAAGCACCTGACAAGCGTGCTGCCCGTTTCCTCTCACTCCAGGTGGAGAAGCGCGCCGTGGCGGAGTGCCACGAGAGGCCGGACTGCCAGTCGTGCCTGTCCACGCGTGACCCGTACTGCGGCTGGTGTGTGCTGCAGGGAAGGTGAGCTGACAGCACCAGCCTGACGGGCTTTCCCCTGTATGGGCTCCGACACGTCTGTAGTGTCCATGCTTCTTTTCATGGGCATTAATGTTAATTACCACATACACTCATCAAATAATAGCTATTTATCTGCTTTTTGTTAGCTTTTTTAGACCAAGCATCCAAAGAAGTTAAGTCATAATTTTCACTTTTTGACAAGCTTCCTTACTGCTGCCAGTGTGTGATGTCAGCACTGCCAGTGTGTGATGTCAGCACTGCCAGTGTGTGATGTCAGCACTGCCAGTGTGTGATGTCAGCACTGCCAGTGCTACCTTTTTCAGTCCAGTGCCATATTTGATATCTTTTAAGGTCACGGGACGGACATTTATTTTGTCTGTAACGATGCTGAGGTTTTTCACACAGGCGACTCGCACGTCTGAAGCTGGCGAGCAGGTTTTCGTCCAGCTGCGATGCAGTTACTCTGCTGACCATGAGATCTGAACCCATGGCCTTCTTAATATGGGCTCAGACCCCAAACCCACTGAGCTGTTTCAGTACAGCTCGGAAGGTTGGGCCTTGGCCCTGGTTGTTAGCGAGTTTACTGACCCCCCCCCCGTGTCACCATGCAGGTGCAGCCGGCGCTCGGAGTGCGACCGCGGCCAGCAGCCGGGACAGTGGCTGTGGAGCTTCGAGCGACAGCATCGCTGCCTTGCTGTCCGCACCGTGAATCCGGCCAGCGTCAGCCATGGCGAGAGGAGAAACGTAGGCGCACTCCGTGGGACGAGGGACACGGGGTGGGGGGTGGGCGGGCTATTGTATCTCCTGGCTCTTTCCCCAGCCAGATTTGGATCACATTTCTTCTCTTAGGTCGACAGAGGGGTCCATGGCATCATCCACATGCCTTTTTCCAGTCACTCTAATCTGTCTATATCAGTCACTTTTAGCCTTATCTGAATGACCTTTTTTTTTTTTGTTCACGTAGCTATTTGCATAAACCTGTCTGAGTTCTGTAATAAATGAAAGTGACCTTGGTTATCTAGGTGGCGAAAAGCCCCCACCTTACTCTGTTTGGCTAAATGGCACCGGTGCCCTCCCCCCCAACAGCAGACGAGCCCTTCATCACGTTTCTTTCTCTGCCCCGAGTGCAGCGTTTCCCTCTTTTGTCTCCCTGCTTCACCACACAGGTTTTCTTGGACGTGCCGGGGCTCCCCTCCCTCCTGCAGGGGGAGGGCTACTCCTGCTTCTTCCAGGAGCACGAGAGCCATGCCAGCGTCACGGGGAGCGGCGTTATGTGTGCCTCCCCAGAGCCCAGCCGAGCGCCGCCCATAGCGCCAGGAGAGGGTGAGAGCTTCAGCTGGGAGTTCAGCCCCCAGTTCACACTCATGTTCCGCTTTCATTTCCCAAATGTGTTATTTTTCTATGATAATTTTGCTTGTACTAAAATGAGTACAGATGCTCCTCGGGTCACGATGGTCCGTGTCACGACACTTCGATTTTACGATGGGTATGATTATTCAAAAAACTACATGAGATATTCAGCACTTTATTATAAAACAGGCTTTGTGTTGATGAGGTTGCCCAACTGTGAGCTAATGTACTTTCGCCTCTCGGTGGGTTTATCGGAATGTAAACCCGTCGTAACCTGGGGAGCGTCTGTATACATTTAGTTTTATTTTTAGCCAAGAGTGCATCAAGCACACTTTGGCATTTCTGCTCTATGAATATTAGTTGTCAGTGGTGTTCAGCGTGTAGAGCGTTGTGGGCCCCTCCCCCGCCGAGGCTCTGTGTGTGAGTGGCCTTTGCATGTTCCCCCTGTAATCACGTGGCTTTCCTCTGCTTGTTTTGGCTACTTCCCACAGTCCAGAGACATGTGATTTAGTTGAATTGGGGTCTGTAAATTGCCCTCTGCACCAGCACCCTTCTGGATGCGCTCTGCCTTGTGTCCTGGTTTATAGGCTCTGGATCTGTCATAACTCTGCTTTGGATAAACATTCACGGAAAAATGGATGGATTGGATTTAATAAACTTTGTAGACAGTCTGTCCCAAGAAGTCACAGTCCAGAAATCGCTTCTGCTGCGATAACAGGATCCTGACTCAAACCATCGTTTCCTTTGCCTACATGTTTTCCCAGCTGATGCATTTTTTCAAAGCATCATACATCCTTAAGAAAGCAGGTCAGAAAATTCCATGGAGCGATTGTGGATTAAGAGCCCCATGGTGTGCTGAAGAGCCCCATGGTGAAATCACTCAGCCAGCCTTTAGGGATTCAACCAGCAACCTTCCGAGCACCGGCACAGCATCCTAACTCAATGAGCCACACACCACGCCACCAACAGGATGTGCAGAATCACAGAATCTGAACCTGGTTTACATATCAGGATTATGTAGGAGTCGGGATAGGAAGTAAGCTTTTCTGGTGCTCATTCCCGAGGTGTGCTTCTTTGCTGAACTGAAGCTTTGTGCTGTTTGGATTATATGAGGGATCAGCTTCAGATTGTTGCAAACATTGACATGAAACCTTCGCTCTCAACCCAAGAACTGTCTCATACTGTGTAAGACCGTAACCACCCCTCCCCCTCCCCCGCAGACTCGGCCACGGTCACCCTGTCCGTCCGCTTCGGCCTGGTCACCGTCGCCATCGCCAACTTCACCTTCTACAGCTGCGCTGCGGTCCAGCAGGTCTCCGGAAGAATGCCGTGAGTTGGGCTTACTCAAGTGTTCATGTCTGTCTCCGAAGTGCTTTTTTTCTCCATATATTCAAAAATTTCCTAACTTAACCTATTTTTGTGGTTAAAGACTTCAGTTTGTAGTTCAGTGAACACCTGTTGTGTCTGCATATTGTGTGTGTGTGTGTGTGTGTGTGTGGGTGAGTGGGTTTTGTATATATGACACTGTGAGGACCAGATGAGCCTACAATGTGAAAAAAACCTGTTATTTTGATGTTGTGGGGACAATTTTTTTGGTCCACACAAGGAGAAACTCAGTCTTATAAAAGTCTGTGATTTTGTTATGCACATATAAATGAAAGAAGAGTCCCCTCAAAGATGTTTGTGTGTGTGTGTGTGTGTGTGTGTGTGTGTGTGCATATAGACACACCCACGAGCAGTTGCTTAGTAATTTTATACAGCTGTGAAGTAGACCTCACACACCTGGAGCATCTCCATCTACATCTCAGCTGAGGTTCAGAGCGACACTTTCTGCTGTCGGCCATAACAGGCCAAGCAGCGGTTTGCACCCTTCCTCACACCAGATCCCCCAAAAGTAAAATGCCCCCCTACCCCCTACTGTGGTGACTGGGATCCTAGCTAAGAACTGAGGACAGAAAGCGGTCTGCAATATTTTTGTCCCCACATTGGCGTGGGGGTGGGAGCACGTTCACATTTTTTTGCGGTGCGTAAAGCAGCTGTTTACACCAACATTTCATTAATTCATGAAACATCTCTGCAGGCCCCCAGGGGGTTGCGGGGGTTGCGGGCCACCGCTTGAAGACCCCCCCGTATACTGAGTACAGTGTGCCATATTGGTGGGCTGAGCCCCACTCCCCAGAGCCCGGTTTTTAATTGCATTTGTTGTTTTTACGGGCCTCCCTAACGCATCCCTGCCAGGCGCCGCCTCCCATCAGCCTCCCTGATTGCTGACTCTGACTCGCTTCCCTGTTGACACTCTAGAGCAGGCAGCTGGGATGCTCTCATTGTGCTGATCGGCCTCTGTCACCCAAACCAGGAAGTGGGCCAGTGACAAGTATATCCATTTAGTTTACACAGAGACAGGAAGGTGATGCAAAATGGATAGCAAGTCCCCCCCCCCTCCCCAATTCTCTCTTAATCCTGGATTAAATTCACTTTAGTTGATGTCATTGTTATGTCAGTATTGGAGAATTATTTCTTTCTTACCAAAGCCAGTAAACTCACTGGACATGGTCTAGTACCACATACACGTGAATATGTGTCTCACACTTTGCTGAATGTTAGCAGTTGTTGCAGTACCCCGGTTTTTATGTCACCTTTCAGATTTCACACAGATCTGAGATTAGTTACTGTTTAATCTTCCATGTGATGCGTTGCTGTTGTGCATTGCTATTGAATGACTTGTATCATAAGAATATAGTAGATCTTTAGACTTTTAGTAGAAGTTTGTTATAATATTTATTGGTGCAAAAACATTCAAAAGCTTTTCTAAGCATTTTCTTATGGATAACCTGTTTTTTTTCCATGATCATGCAGCAGTTGTCAGGCAATCGGTAGCGTCAAGGCCCATGATACGATGTAGCTAAGAGGTTCGGGTTTTAGTCAGGAATAAAAAGTTACAAAATCTCAGTATAAGATGTTATTTTAAAATCATAACAGAGCTTCAGTTTATATATTTTATCAGCTTTATCTAAATTAGGCAGCAGCGCTTTCCGCGGGAGGGAAATGCCGACCGCATACAAACGAACTGGCCCTTTGGACCTTAAGCTTAAGTAATTTATGTCTCCTAATGCCTTCCATCCGCATCGCTTTATGTTTTTGGCCCCTGAATGGAAGCACACGTGCGTTTTGTTTGATAAGGGACACTAAGGCTCACTACAAAATCCACCACAAAGGTTCTGGCTTCTGCCATTGTTGTTGTCGCTGTATCTGCAGGACGGAAGTACACATTATTATCTACATCCGGCTGAAAGAAGCGTTAGCGTGAGGAAAGTCTGTCGTGGGTGTTTGCATTTGCCTGTTGGTCCTCTGAGGTTTGACTAACCCCCCCCCCCCCGTTCCTTTGTAGATGCCGCGGCTGTGTAAGCAGCCACTGGGGGTGCCATTGGTGCGTTCACCAGCACCGGTGCACGCACAAGCCCGCCTGTGAGCACGGTGCCATCATTTATAACGAGCAGGTATGTCTGCTAGCTGCAGTGATGGGGTACGCTAACCGGGGTACCGATGGGGTACGCTAACCGGGGTACCGATGGGGTACGCTAACCGGGCCAAATTCCAGCCATGTACGGGTCCTCTGCGGTAAGTACAGTAGATGCGCGGTGTGATTTAAACGGTCGGCGTCCAGCCTGTGCTCTTGGTTAAAGCCGTGTCCATATCTACTAACCGGCCTGGCAGCACAGCACCGCACACATGTCCGTAAGACACCTGGGCGCATGTGCAGCGTGTCCGTCCCTGAATGTCTGTGGGGTCCTGGTGTCCCCAGCTGTCCTGTGCTGTAGTGGTCTGCATTTTCGTGTGTGTCTGTGTTTTTTTGATGTTCATTGTTTGCTTTTTGTTTTTACTTTCTGCCCATTTCCCTCTTCTCCTCCCCATCTGGTCCCTCCTTCTTCCATTCTAATGCCACCAGTTCAAACTCCCCACCCCGGCTGCACCTACAGCAGCAGCCTTTACCAGCTTTACTCCCCTGGTGCCCTCTACTGCCCCCATGCCACCCCCCACCAGCCCTGCCTCTGTGGCTACCACTGCTGCGACCCCCCAGGAAGAGAAGCCTGCAGACCCCACATCTCCCACGGGGGTTGACTCCAGCACACAGGCTGCCATGTTGCCCCCCACACAGCCTCCCAGCATGCCCCCCCCATCTACTATGCTGATCCAAGCTGCCACCACTGCCAACACCCAGCTTACCGAAGTCGTGACGAGCCCCCATGTGGGGCAGGAGGCAGCGGGCACGGAGAATCCCGCTGCTGTGGAAGAGTGGGACAGAGGGGAGATGGAGCTTCTGCCCTCCCCTAGAGAAGATGCTCTGACCACGGAGGAGCTGGTGGCCGTGAGCCCCACAGAGGAGTCCGTGAGCAGTCCCTCCACGCCTCACCCCTATGGCACGCCCAAGCCTTCCCTGGACGGTGTCGACCCCACACCCAACAATCTCACCGCGACCCCCAGCTCGGCCCCACGAGACGTCGCAGGGGGCGGCGCCGAGGAGGCGGCGGCAGATGCCGAGGGCGACACAGTCACGTTCTCCGCCACCATGCTCTCGGGGGACGGAGATGAGGATCACCCCGCCCCTGTCTATTCACACCTGCTGGACTCCCAGTACGAAGCGGACTATGACATGCTGGTGAGTGTCAGGCTGTGCGGCCAGGATGTACTGGCCAGTGGCCGCCTCTCTGATGGGACACTCTGTGACCCTCTCTGCCCCTCAGAGCTCTCCCACCGTCCTCCGGTAGCTCTGTGTGTGTGTGTCTGTCTGTCTGTGTGTGTGTGTGTGTGTCTGTCTGTCTGTCTGTGTGTGTGTGTGTGTGTGTGTGTGTGTCTGTGCGCCCATCATTAAAGTGTGCTGGCTTTCGCTGTCAACTCACATCCTTGCTGTCTACAAAAACAGACAAAGGCTGTGCTTTTGGCCACAAACTGAGACTGCTGTTTATTTTCAGAGTGTGCGTTTCCTAGCGTGACTTTTAACCCCATCACAGCCTAAGTTGGCTTGTACGTATCGTAAGAATATTTTCTGCTAGAGCCCATGCATGAAGTGAATGGTGTTGGTGGGCTGGGATGACTGGTGTGATGAGAGTCTGTGTCACTAATGCAGGGCGATGAGGGGCCCCTGGAAAGCGCGGGCCCTTCAGCCTGCCCCTGCGTGCAGTCAGTCCAGGGCTCAGCCCTTGTCCCAGTCGGTGTGGAGAGGAAGATTACCCTGCTGGGCCGTAACCTCCACCTTTTTCAGGTACCCTTGGTGTCTCCAATTCCAGACAGGGGGGCAGTGTCTTCATGTTGTGTTTTTCGTTCTACCAAGTTAATGACATGCTTATTTAAGATCAGTTTAATTTCCACTATTTTTTATGATAAACTAACAGTAAATGTATTGGTGACTGGTAATTTTTGGCCACATATATACATGTATTAGTCTTATGCTGTTGGAACCTGCCTGTGATTGGGCCCCCTGTGTAGGGGCCCTCCATGTTTCTCAGTCAGTCTCGGTCTGGCTCTGCAGGATGAGGAGTACGAGTGCACTGTCGTGGTTGAGGGCGGAGTGGTGCTGCTCGATGCTTATGTAGAAACTGATGAGCTGGACGCCTCCGTCTTCTACATCACCTGCCAGCTGCATCAGGTTGGACTTTACATTTTTTAAACTGAGGTTTATTCTTAATTTTATTTAATAGACGCTCCCCAGGTTACGATGGTCCGTGTTACGATATTTTGACTTTACAATGGGCAAATGTTTTTCACTTTCAGTACATTATTCAATAAAGTGCATGATATATTCAACACTTTATTATAAAATAGAGTTAGTGTTAACGATTTTGCCCAACTGTAGGATAATGTAAGTGTTCTAAGCATGTTTAAGGTAGCTAGCCTAGGCTATTATGTTTGTTAGGTTAGGGGTACTGTATTAAAACACATTTTTACCTTACGATATTTTTGCTTAACTCGTAACTCCATCGTAACCTGGGGAGCATCTATACGTCAAATTATAATTCTATATTATGAAGGCATGATTATATACATTGCAGTATTAACAATTAATATTCATCTATGAAAACAGTTTTTTTTGTCACAATTCATGTGGATATTAACGTGGCCGCCGTTGGTCTTGGTGCTGCTGGGGTTCATCACCATTATTATCACCTTGTTCTTCATGATAACAGTGAATCAGACTGTTAGTGTTACAGTTCCAGCACTTTCCCTATCTGGTGACAGTCCCCTGAAATTCTTCTTGATGTTGCTGTAATGCTTGTGCTTGGCACTGGATTTTGATTGGCCGCCGGCTTCCGCTCTGTTTCACTGTAGTACTCGTACTCCGGCCTGCTGGAGCAGTATGACGCCGCGGTGTCTGTGAGGAGGAGGAAAGGCTTTCCCCTGGACAGCTTTCCGGAGCAGCACGGTGAGGACCCCTTGCGCTCGTGACGCACGCCAGCCACTGAGATTTGTGGGCTGTACACATGTAGCTGCAGTGTCTCCAGTTTTAATTGCCGGCCGTCCTCCCACATCCTCGCTGCAGTGACCCTCTACAACTGCTCGGTGGGACGTTCGGACTGCAGCCGGTGCCACACCGCCGAGCAGGGCTATGGCTGCGTATGGTGTGGGGGCACTCGGTCCCGCTGCGTCCACAGGGACTCCTGCACGGACGAGGTGGCCGCCACCTGCCCGGCGCCTCTCATCCGCTCTGTGAGTAGCCGTTGATGCCTGTAATCTGCCGAGGGCCCAGTCGACCTTTTCTGTCAACGTCCACAGTCAAACAAAAAATGCAGGGTTATGGTGAAAGGTGCGGGAGAGTGTGCACCTACGACTCTGTCGCTCTTTTTAGGTTGAGCCGTCGACAGGCCCGCTGGAGGGAGGTACTGCCATAACCATCTTTGGGTCCAACCTGGGACAGAAAGCCCAGGATATCCAGCATTCCGTCATGGTGGCTGGCCTCCCCTGTGCTGTCGACCTCAGCCGATACGAGGTCTCATCCAGGTGAGCTGGCGTGGTTTCACGTGGAGGAATTCGGCGGTGAGAGCATGGCGTAGAGACTCTTTTCGATCTTGTCTCTGTCCTCCTGCAGAATTGTGTGCGTGACCTCGGCCAGTGTGGAAGACAGATCCGGCCTGGTGTCAGTGGAAGCCAGTGGTGGAGGCTATGGCCTCTCCAGTCAAAAATTCAGCTACCAGGTGATGAAATGAGGAGACACGTGCTTGGATGAAAGGATTACAAAGAATCTCACCGAATGTTTGCGGTCTGGGTATATTTAACTGTATTAGCAGTCCTCAGGTTAAGAATATCCGACTTAAGGACAGCTTGTAATTATGAATGACTGCCATAAAGCCTATTATATTAAAAATTCGGGTTGAATACACTGTTTCGTAATAACATTGCATGGCTTCATTGGTCCTTAGGCTTGGGGTACCGTACAGTACCATATGCAGTTAGGTCTGCGTTTTATTCAGTTTAAATATTATTATGTACTGTATTATTATTTTTACGACTTAACCTATAAATATAAGACAGACAGGGAACAGATCTGGCACATAAGTAAATGCATTCATTACTGGTGGTTGCGAAATCATCGTGTCCCGCTTTCAGAACCCTGAAGTGACACAGGTGCACCCTCAGCGAGGACCGAGGGCTGGTGGCACCCTCGTGACCATCACTGGAAGGAGTCTGCTGACAGGACATCCCAATGAGATCAGCGTGATCATTGGGGACTTCCCATGCGTCATGTGAGCCCTATTCGACATGACATTCTTTTAAAATGATTTAAGTAAGCAAAGTAACAAGGCTCCTACTGTAAACTCTAACGCAGCTCTTCGAAGATCCAAGAGGATAAAATCGAGTGCCATACTGGTGCCAGCAATAAGACAGGGGAACATGGCGTTACGGTACGATATGGCAGTGTTGAGCGCCATCTGCTGGGAAGTGCATTCCACTACACCTTCGATCCCAACATCACACAGGCTGCACCTTCCAAAAGCTTCCTCAGGTGAGATGTTTACTGTTGCAGAACCTCCTACATTCTCTCATTCCTCCTGTCCTTATTATCCTTGTATCCTATTTTTCCATGGAGCTTTTCTAAGGAGCCCCGGAAAGGACATGGAGGGAAAAAATTGGTGGCTGTTTTTTTTTTCCAACCATTGATTTTTTTTCCTCTATGTCCCTTCTGGGGCTCCATATTTTTCCACTGGAGTACTTTGTCAATTATAATTAATGACAATTATTTATTTATGTGCTCAGCGGTGGGAGAATAATCCATGTGATGGGGCAGAACCTGGATGTGGTGCAGGAGCCGCGCATTCGGGTGACTGTTTCTCCAAAGGAGCAGCTCCATAATAGGAGAAGGAGGAGTAGGGGGACCAAGACAAGGAGGGAGCAAGAGCCACTGACCACACACACGGCTCCCCTGAGACATCGGCGGATTGTTCCAGAGACCAGCTCCCACACGGATACCATCCCAGACAAACAGCCAGTAAGACCAGTTTTTCTAGTAAAGACTGCAGCACTTCATTGGTCTTTGATGTTTAAACTAATTTAAGAAATATTTTTGCTAAGTTTTAAATAAGACCTTTCTATACCTCAGGTAAAAAAGGTAACATCAGAGTCAGCATCAACTGTTGAGTAAAAATTAAAAATAAGTCTTGCCGTCTCACTCTGCACTGTTGTGTCCTAGTACACAGATCGCTGCCAAGTGATCACAGCCTCGCTGATCCTGTGCAGAACACCGGCTGTGAAGCCCAATGCCTACGGCGCCCACATCCAGGTGGACTTCCTCCTGGATAACCTGCACGTCAACTTCGACACTGTCAGTCCAAGTGCCTTCAGCTATGAACTGGACCCCGTCCTCCACCCGCTCAGCCGCTATGACCCTAGCAAGCCCTACCGCTACAAACCTGGCAGCGTCATCTCTGTGGAGGTCTTTAGTTTTGGCTTCTTCTGGTCTGGATATTGTTTGTAAAGATGACTTAATGTACCTTTATATCAAACCTGTCTGTGTTCGACCTTGGTCACTGTAGGGAGAAAACCTGGACTTAGCGATCTTCAAAGAGGAGGTGGTTGCGCTCATTGGGGAGGGGGTTTGCTCTGTGAAGACTCTGACCCAGAACCACCTGTACTGTGAGCCCCCGGCCCAGCAGCCCCAGCCGGGGCCTGGCAGAAAGCGAGAGGGCACGGATGGTCTACCTGAGTTCACGGTGGGTTCACAGCCTCATAGCATTTGTGTGTAAACATGAAGGAGTCAGAAGCATGACGTCTCCAAGTTGACAGCACTGTAATATGGACATTTTAACAGCTCCAGATGAGCACCTTGCTCAAGGGTAGTAGAGAGCTGTTGCTCTTAGTGCTGAAAACATGATCTGAAATGCATGCAGAAGTAATGAGGACACACCTTGGTTCATGTGTGATTTCTGCTGTACGCAGGTCCTCATGGGAAACCTGAACTTCTCCCTGGGCAAGGTGGAATACGACACCCAAGGCTTGTCCACCTTCCCCCTGGAAGCCCAGGTTGGAGTTGGCGTTGGGGCCTCCATCCTGGCGCTCATTGTTTTCATCATCGTCCTCATATACAGGTATGTCTTCTCCCAAGCAGCAAACTCCTTCCAACTTGTTTTATCAAATGAGAGAGAGAAACGGTACCAGCTGTACTGACAATATGGCCTCTGGTCTCACTACAGACCAAAAGATGGAGACACAGCTTCACAATACATATTAACATATAAACACAATATAAACACATCCAGATTGGATTTTTATTTTGCAGTCATTTTGCTCTGGCAGCTAATAATTCCATGGGGTGATGGATGTGTATTTTGTAGGAGGAAGAGCAAGCAGGCGTTGAGGGACTACAAGAAGGTTCAGATTCAGCTGGAGAACCTGGAGACCAGTGTGAGAGACCGGTGCAAGAAGGAGTTCACAGGTAAGGCAGAAGCTCCAAGTAACGTCATCCCAAAACGATGATAATGGCTAGAAGTCATTATTATCATCGTCTGCAGTTTCTCCAGATGATGTGGCTTGTATTCTCCTAACTGCAGACCTGATGACGGAGATGATGGACATGTCCAGTGACCTGGTGGGCTCTGGCATCCCCTTCCTGGACTACCGTATGTACGCTGAGCGGATCTTCTTCCCTGGCCACCGGGATTCGCCACTGTGCCGCGACCTTGACGTTCAGGAGTGCCGACGGCAGACCGTGGAGCAGGGCCTGGTGCAACTGTCCAACTTGCTCAACAGCAAGCTTTTCCTCACCAAGGTAAAGAACATGACTATGTTAATTTATATTCTTATTCTATTTTCTGTGGGGAAAGGAGGATGTCCTAAGTCAGAATTTCATTGTACAGCGAAGCTGCATGTTTTCTGTGCATATGACAAAACTCTCTATACCATACTGAGAATGCTTTTCCTTGCCACGGTAAAGAGCAATCTTACTCTGACTGAGAATGCTCTTCCTCACCACGGTAAAGAGCAATCTTACTCTGACTGAGAATGCTCTTCCTCACCACGGTAAAGAGCAATCTTACTCTGACTGAGAATGCTCTTCCTTACCAGGGTAATGATAACCTCCCCTTGTCCACTACAGTCGCCTCTCTTACATTACTGCCTCTCTGACTTCTTTACTCAGTGTTGCATATTCATTGAATAAAATCCATTACTACATCTCTAAAACAGTTTACTCATATTTGTAGAACTGTTCTGCCACCTACTGGTGCAGAACTAAAATTGTCTTGCAAAAGCTGTTGCAATAGCTGATGGGGAAAAAGTCAGTCGACTTTGTTATCATGCTTTTATAAACTCTGGGCTCTTTACAGAATTCAAAATTTAAGGTAGATGCAATTATTGTTGAGAGACATTAATGCATTTCATTCCTGGTCAGACCTGACCATAATACAATTAAGTAACAAAGTACTGTAAGGAAGGTTTATAACTGTTTTCTATGCCAGCGCATGTCGTACTCCTATCCAGGAGCAAGAGGCGACCATTTACTAATAGGCAGGGATGCACATAATCGGTACGCAACTACGTATTCACCTTTAAAAGTGATACATACGGCAATCAATTGTTACAACAGTGCAAACGCTTACTTATTTTATGTGCATTTGCGCTGATATGACAAGAAATTATCGTGCATTTTATATGCTAATTTGTACTTCATTTGCAGTATAAAAGTTCATTTCTTGTCCTACCGGCGCTAATAGAGAATTGGTTCCCACCTGCATGCAAAAGAAGATGAAGATTCGGTTTTTACACCCTAGTGACCACTGTGATCTATAACAACAGGAAGTAACCAGAATCGTCGTGTTTGCGTTCTTACATTTGCCATGAGAAACAAAAATTTCTCTGAATCTGAAATAGAGTCCTGGCAACAACTTTCTTGTTCTGTAATAAAATGTCTCCGTGAATGAATAAATAGAATTCTGCTTGTAACTTACGATGATAAGTCATAGAAATATTATTTATGGGGATAGATGAGAACAGTTTTGTTGGCTAACATTAGCTGTACTAGTTATAGGTAACATTAGCCAGTATTCCAACCATTAAGCTATCCATCTCAAAGTAAAATAACGTTATCCTCACTCGACTGGTTATGGATGCGGGGCAGTCTTTGTGTGGTAAAACTCAGCAGCTGATTCTCAGTGTCACTGTTGAAGTTCACACATAGGGTAGCAGGAAAGAACAGACAGTACCCGATCTTGGCCACACGTAGCTTAGCTTTCAGTGAGTCGAAGGCGGCTATAAGGTTCCCAGCTTCCGCAGGGAGATCCGGGAAGATGTGAAGAGGCAAACTTCGGTATCTGAGCTGTCTCTGATATGCCCACAATTCTCTCCTTTTCGGCGTGGTAGTGTCAGTTATGTAATTTTGTTGGTATGATGTTACTAACACTATCAACACATCTTTTAACTGCATTTTTACTGAGAACTGCTTACCGCGGACATGAGAAATAGGGGCCACTCCGACTTTCGTGTTGAGGCGCCGCTGGCGTGAGGCGTGAGCCGCGAGTCTCACGTGGGCAGTGTGGCTGCTCTAATCTGTTAACTGGGCGCCAAAGTGAAAATCAACACTTTCCACAGCCACGACACACGCAGCCACACCAGGCTTCAGGTCTACTCCATTGCATGCTGCACCGGAACTCATGCATTTAGATACATTTTTGACCAAGTGTAAAATTAAAACATTGTTTGCATATCATTACACTGTGTTCTAGACTTCATATATACTGAAAATGAGTCTTTATTTCAGTGCAGTCCAGTTTGGATCCTGTCAGCTAACCCTTTATGATGTTGGATATTGTTACTAATGGGTTGTTTTTTTGTTTTTTTTTTGTGAATCAGCCGCCTTATATTATTCTGAGCTACAATATGGTTTAAACCAGGGGTGTCAAACTCCATTCCTGGGGGGCCGGAGCCCTGTATAGCTTAGCTCTTTCTTTGTTCCCACACAAATGATTCAGCTCAAGAGCTGTGTGGTAATTAGCACAAGGAGTTGAATCAGGTGTGTTAAATGAGGGGAAACCCAAAAATGTGCAGGGCTCCGACCCCCCAGGACTGGAGTCTGACACCCCTGGTTTAAACACATTTGCCAATATAAATTCAGCATTATATGTAATGGGAAAATGTTGATTTGTGGTTTTACTGGTTTCCTGTGTAACTCCCCTAGTTCATCCACACTCTGGAGAGCCAGCGTACCTTCTCGCCCCGGGACCGAGCCTATGTGGCCTCCCTGTTGACTGTGGCCCTGCATGGCAAGCTGGAGTACTTCACTGACATCCTCCGGACCCTGCTCAGTGACCTGGTGGAACAATATGTGGCAAAGAACCCCAAGCTCATGCTGCGAAGGTCAGAGGCCAGCAGTGGAAGGGAACTTCCCTCTGATTGGCCGTAATGTTAAAGTATCCACTGCCACATGATATTCAATCCATTGAACTGTGCTGCACTGTAGTTTGAATTATTACTTATTACTTATTACTATTGTTTGAAGTCATTCTACCAAGGTGTAATTACTAATTGAAGTACTACTTTCCTATATAGAGACCACTCATTGAACCTATCGTATATTGAATTATTAAGTTCTTGGTTTCAGGTATTGCTCAGTTCTTGCCAGTAGGGATTGTTCATTGAGTTGATGATCTGTTTCTATGCAGAACGGAATCTGTGGTGGAGAAACTGCTGACTAACTGGATGTCTATCTGCCTGTACGCCTTCCTGAGGGTGAGATTAGAGAAACCACGCATGTGAGAGAAAATCTGACATGTCTGGCCCCAGGCACGTGGGCACAGCTGTTGTTATTGGCTGTTGAGCGTGCCACTGCTGCCCCCTGCAGGATTCTGCCGGGGAGTCCCTCTACATGCTGTTCAGGGCGATTAAACATCAGGTGGACAAAGGGCCTGTGGATGCTGTGACAGGGAAGGCCAAGTACACCCTGAATGACAATCGTCTGCTCCGGGAGGACATCGAGTACCACACCTTGGTGAGCAGGACCCCATACCTCTCACCGAGCTACTGCAGGCAGAAAGCCAGCTGGCAGAAGGCAGGGTCCACTTGGTACTCCTCTGAATATTGGGGATAAATTGATGATTATATTGGTTTTTAATAGCGTTCACTGAAGTATATAACCACTGTTCAGCATAGATTCTGCACTTTTGCAAATGAATCTTTGTAGTGAAGATTATGTGTATGAGGAATGGTTGTGTTGGGGGAGAATGATGTATCCTCAAAAATAAATTCATGGGGGTCATTCCACCAGACCCTGAATGTGCTGATGCAGGGTGGCATGGGGAATGAGGCCCAGACAGTTCCCTCTAAGGTACTGGACTGCGACACCATCACGCAGGTAAAGGAGAAGATCCTAGACCAGACATATAAGGGAACATCATTCTCTCATCGGCCACAGACAGACTCCCTCGACCTGGGTAAGCCACTCTTGCCTGTGCCATCGTTGTCTAATCATGTCATGTGAGTTTGCCTCAAGACATCTTTCTTCATGACACTCTTAGCAATGATTAAGAATACGTCTATTTTGGAGCAGAGTATGGGGGAAGGTAGTTGATTCTTGTGCTACGTGACGTCCCCTCAGAATGGCGTTCAGGCGTGGCGGGCCACTTGATTCTCTCTGATGAAGATCTGACGTCTGTGGTACAGGGCAGCTGGAAGCGCCTCAATACCCTTCAGCATTACAAGGTGGGTCAGTTACTTGGCAGGAGACACCATGAACACAAAGGAGGTTTACGCAGGGTGAGGTTCAGCCATTGCACAGCAGACATGCCGACCCCTGCATGACTGCATGAGCATTCTGACTGGTTATGGGGTGGTGGGTAGTTCAGTGGGTTTTGGATCTGTGCCCATGTCCAGAAGGTTGTGAGCTTGAGTTCGCTGCCTGGAAAAGTTATCGAAGCAAAGTCCTTAATGGCTGAGCTTATGGCTGTTGGTTTATCAATATGGAGTGGATCAGAAATACAAGTTACTGGCTGTTATTTGTTTTGTAAATAATCCACATTTCTCATACCCCATTTCTTCAAGGTACCTGATGGTGCAATGGTGGCACTGGTTCCTCGTCACAGCAAGCACACGCATCATGACACTCATGACTATGTGGTTGGAGAGAGTGAGTGTCCCCGTAGCAGTAGGTTGGGCCAACCCATCATGACTTACACCAGTCAGACGGATCACCTAGGCAGCAGATATGCAGCGTAGCTGAAGAAACAGGCCTATTTGTAAGAGTTCATTGATGTGTCTCCTCCTGTCAGAGACGCCCATGTTGGAGGATGCTGACGAGGGTGGGGTGCGGCTCTGGCACCTGGTGAAGGCCAGCGAGGAGCCAGAGATGCCAAGGCACCGGCGTGGCAGCCTGAGGGAGAGGGAGCGGGCAAAGGCCATCCCCGAGATCTACCTCACACGCCTGCTCTCCATGAAGGTAACTGCATTTGATCATTGTTTCTGATAGAGAAGGACATCAGAAGCAGATTAGCAGCTTGTTTATAATTTTAGAAAGTCTTAGCTTTCAGGAATGTATGTCAGTCATCCCTATTGTTTCCATTGAACTAATGTATTTGCTTGTATTTGCCTCCAGGGCACCTTGCAGAAGTTTGTGGATGACCTGTTCCAGGTAATTCTTAGCACCAGCAGGCCCGTCCCTCTGGCCGTCAAGTACTTCTTCGACATGTTGGACGAGCAGGCAGCGCAGCATGGAATCTTGGACCCAGAGACCATTCACATATGGAAAACCAACAGGTACTAGCCACTGGACCAGCAGTGATGCTGGGCTGGTGATGGGACCTCGCTCAGTTCCATGCTAAATTTACACGTCATGTAACTTACATGATCTCTTTAGATGTAGTCATTGGAGAGGTCTACAGTCTCTGCCGTTATACAGTGCCTTGGTTAATCTTTGTCCCAGTGGTTACTTTATGGGTTCCTATTGGGTTAAACTAGTCAGTGACTTCTAGCCCAGAGCAGTCACAGAAATTGTAGGTTCACTTATATTTCAAGGCCAAGCACTTTATTGTTATTGTGTAATGCAACAAAATTACTTTTATGACACCCCCAAAGGTGCATTTAAAGAATGCAAATAGCTAACAGTGGTGGCCTAATGGTTAGGGAAGTGTGCTTGTGAGTGGAAGGGTGCTGGTTTGAATCCTGACCAATGGTGGTAAACAGAGCTGTAATCAACGAAGAGCATCCTGATGCAGGTGTTAGGCTTCTCTAGGCGCGAGAGGGCAGCATGCAAAGCTACACAAACACCTCAGGCCAGCTGTTTGCCTGGTAGGCAAAATGGTCTTGGGCTGGGACAGAGACAATAATGTGGCTAATTAGCGGTTGTTCAAAACACTTTGCGGTGAGAGCGACTGGTCGGTAGTCATTAAGGTGGGTTATCAGGGGTTTTTCTGGAGCAGGTTGATTATATGAGAGGCTGAATATATGTGCAAATTCATTTTTATTCTTTTAAAACTGCATGCTTTTTGTACTGGTCTTTCCCATCCTCTTGTTTTTTATTACATTGCACATTAAAGTTGCTTGGGGTTGTGTCTCTGCTAAGTTTGCCTTTGAGATTCTGGATCAACATCATCAAGAATCCCCAGTTCATTTTCGACGTTCAGGCCTCGGACAACGTGGACGCCGTCCTGTCCGTCATCGCCCAGACCTTCATGGACTCCTGTACGATTGCAGAGCACAAGCTGGGCAGGGTGAGGAGGGGTGGACGGGTTATACAACGGACAATATGACAAGTTGTCAGTCGCTGAATTGGCACCGGTGTGAAGCACCAAGCAGTACGGCTTTGTTTTGCATTCACAGGACTCCCCCATTAATAAGCTGCTGTATGCCCGAGACATCCCACGGTACAAACAGATGGTAGAGAGGTGAGGGTTTGCCACCCTGCCAGGGCATGTGGGGCCAGGCAGGTAGGGGGTACATGTTCTTGCTGATTCTGCAGGCATCATTTTTGGGCAATTTGTCGCTTGCTAATGGGACCATATGGATACTATTGCCAGAAGAAAGAACAATGACAATAGCATCCTGATCTATCACACAACGTGAAATAGCAAAGTAGTTACTTCTAAAAGGTAATACATGCAAATCTGCAGTATTAGACTAAATGAAAAGTTAAAATTTTATTGTATTTCAATTGTAAGCACACATTTTTTTAACACTAAGTTAATACCAGAGGTGGAAAGTTCAGGTGTAGACAGTACAAATCCAGAACAGGGTATTGTTTCAACCAACCAGTTGAGTACTCTGTGACTGTGACTCTTTATGCTCAACTGGTTGGTTGAAACAAAATCCTGGCCTGGATTTGTACTCTCTGGACCTGAACTTTCCACCTCTGGTTAATGCGTCACCTCCTCCAGTCTGCTGTGGGTGGTCAGGTGACCCCACAGGGTTGTCATTGACAGCCATACTCTTCACTCTTCTTTAAACAGGTACTATGCTGATATCCGACAGACCATTTCTGCTAGTGACCAGGAGATGAATTCTGCTCTAGCTGAGCTTTCCAGGGTAGGTCTTTAACATGGGTTCTTTTAAATTTCTACGCAACAGTTAGTTATTTTCATTGATTCATATATCAGCTTATTTATAATACAAACATTTCAGGAAATTTACTGGACAAAATAGGGCACGGTATAGATTTACAGTTTTTTACATATTATTATGCAGTACACAGTACTGTGCAAAAGTCTTGAGCCACCCCTCATTTCTTCATATTTTGCTCCCAAAGAACCAGACATTCTTGTATTTTAATGTAGTCTTGAGGATTAGTCCTCCAGGCTTCCTGAAGGACTTTCAAAGTTTTTGGCTCTCATTTTCAATCCAGTCCCTGTACCTGACTAGTTTCAGAGATGATCAGGCCGGTGATGAGTAGAATGCTAAGTAGTTGGAACACCTTTATCTAGGCACCTTGTATCTTTAGGCGCTTTGTAGCCTGTCGCAGTAAAACATTTGTTCCCATTTCTTTCCTTTAGTCTACTCCGTATGCCAAAGATAAACAGTTTGATAGACATCATAGAGTATTTTTGCACCACCAAGGTGATTCCCAAAGAGCTATTAGCCGAAAACTTGGCATATCTCGGTATGGTGTAGTGTGTCCTTGAAAAATTTGAGGAAAGTGGACAAGTGGAGAACAAAAGAAGGCCCAACAAAAAACTGTTTGCAGCTGATCAACAGTATCTTAAAGTCACGTCCTTAAGAAACAGGAAAAAAATCTCACAAAGACCTGATACAGGAGCAGAGATGCATCTGGCCCTTCAGTTCATCCATGTACTGTGTAATGGAAAAGTGGCTTTCAAAAATTCATTCTTATGGAAGGGTATGCCACATTGCACTGGACTGAAAATCAGTGGCAATAGGTCTTGTGTGTTGGGGATCTTGTCAAAATTAATGGAGTTTTGAACTCTGAAATGTACCATCAGATTTTGGTCCACCATGCAGTACAATCTGGACAGCGTCCGATTAGCAGTGCCTTCATTTTTCAGCAGGACAATCCCAAACACACTGACAATGCAGTCAAAGCATATATAATATAAAAAATACACGATGCAACAATATCAGTCATGGACAGACCTCCTCAAAGCCTGGATCTCAACATTACTGAAGCAATGTGGGATCATCTTGACAGAGAACAGGACAAAAAGCAGCCAATGACCAAATAAGAGCTTTGGAATGTCCTTCAAGAAGCCTGGAGAACTATTCCTGTAACCTACTTAAAAAAATTACCAGAAAGATTGCTGTGTTGAAGTATAGCGGTGGTCATACCAAACATTGACTTTAATAGTTTGTTAGAATTATACAGTTATACACTGTATTTATATGTGTGTCTGCACATGCTGCAATCAATCACTGTGCCTATTGTCCCATTTTCCTAGCAAAATATAAAGTAATCAGTGGTGGCTCAAGGGTTTTGCGTAGTACTGTACATGCATTACTGTTATAATTAGCAATGTAAATTAGAACATAAGATAAACACTGATTAAATATTTCTAATCTTCTCCATTGCTGTTGATCATTTAAATTTAGACTGGATTGTTAGTTGGTGGAATTTGGTTTCTAATGTGATTCAAAGTCCTTTTCAGCATTTTTCTGGGAGAAAGGCTATGAGGTCACCTTCTATAAACATTGCAGTGTACTTGTAATTAGATATTATTTCAAACACTGGGTTTATGTTATGTGTGTGTCTGTGTCTGTGTGTCTTTACAGAATTATTCAGGAGAGCTGAATTACCTTGTGGCTCTTCACGAATTGTACAAATACATCAACAAATACTATGACCAGGTAGGTAAAGCAAAAGTGTTATGGCAAATTCTAAAAAACTCCTGAACAACATACATCCATGCAGTGTAGATAAATGTGCAACAATTTATTATGACCCTGAAACATTACAAAAGCCCCTTTCTGATTGTATTTCTAAAGGGAAATATCTATATCCATGTCACACACCTCACATGCTACGGTAATATTATATATGTCATTTTCCCTATGAAGTGAGAGTGGGAATATCATTGGATGACCACTAAAATATTCTGTCAGCTTCCCCCCAGGGAGTATTTCTGTAATCTCAGTTCTCAGTTTCTAAATGATCCCTGAAAGCAAAGATAAGAGAATGGACTGTAATTTAAAATGCCTCAACAGTAAATATGTGCATTGCTGACATCTCAGATCATCACGGCTTTGGAGGAGGACACCACTGCCCAGAAGATGCAGCTGGGATACAGACTCCAGCAGATCGCAGCCGCTGTGGAAAACAAAGTAACAGACTTGTGATAAAAAGGGAATCCTGGGAGGCAAAGCAGCCAAGGAGGAAGAAAGTGCTGGGCAAATTGGCCTGGTTGGACAGGGTCCTCCTCACTTCCCCACAGACTAAGCGGAGGAGGAAAGCATAGAGAGGAACTCCTTCTGACCGTCCTTGCCACCTCGTGGTTGTCACATGGATGCTCAGTGTTTACTTCCTCTATTTGGGCATCTTTGTCGGGCCAATCACAGACCACACATTTTGTCTGCTGCACCAACTGAACAAGCGGTGGACTCAATTGCAACAGAAACTATGAGGGCCACCCTGCTCCCACAGACATCAGCACACAGGATCACAAGTGCAAAGAGTTTCATCTCGGCGGCAACAAATAGATAAGTGAACAAGAAGCAGACATACGGCACCTTGCAGCATTAACGAGTAGCAGGATAAGCAAGTCCAGATTCATTTCATGTACATGTATGTATTACTCAGTGAAAGGTTGGAAAAAAGCCTCTGTGTCTAGGGAAGTATAGTTTCTGTAATTTCAAGCAACCTTCTTTCGATGATTTAGAAGTTTCCCCATCGGGAAATTTCAAATGGCACTGGAGCCTCTGACACCCTATTGAACGTGTTTGTGTTTGACATTACTTGTAAATATCTCACTCTCTAATGCCCATTTTGTCACATCCCAGTGTTATAGTATCTCTTGTGCTGTTAGTCCAATACTTTAAAAGAAATCAAGCCATTAAAGTTTGACCATTTAAGCTGGATAAACTAGTTTGTTGTCAAACCAGACTTTCCCGCACCGTATTGAAACCCATTAGCCTTGTGTTTTATTCTACCTCTTCAATGATTACACAACCAACTGAAAGGCACATGCTTTTTAAAAAAGAACTGTTTTCCATCAAATTACTGAAGAACGATGTCTGAATATCACATTCATCCTTATACATTTGGCTACAGAAGCAAAAGTTTTATAGCAAATTCTATTGTTGCCTTTGTGAATCTGTGCCAGTCAAAAGCGTACTTAACCTCTTCCCAAAGAAGAGAACTTTTCTGGAACTAAATGTGCTGGCACCTTAATTTGATCTGTGATGCAAATTTAAAAGGGGTCTTTCTAATTCAGAGTGTATCATCAATTTTGAGCTTGTCACTGCTTTGACCTTTTAAAAACAGTTGCAGCTGAACCCAACTAACATTAAAACCAAAACTTTAATTAAATACTGACTAAAGCAAAGCATTCCAGGCTTTTCCCCAGTCTGAAGTCTTTAGAAGCACTTTGATAAATTTTTTGCACATGGGCCATTAATCAATAGGTGTATACATGTCATTTTGGCTATAACTTGCATCCTCAAAATTATTTTTAGCACGTTTTACTTAGTTCTTTCTGACATAATTGTTAATAATTATTTTTAAGAGATATTTTTAATCAGTCATTGTGAATAACACTCTTTTTAATGGCAGTATAACAAACTGCTGTACACTTAAGTACAAGGCAGCATACTGACTGTAGTTCCTTGTACAAACAGCAGATGTCAGTAACCATATGCAACATCCATCCATCCATCCATCCATCAATCCATCTTCTGTGAAAGGGTGGCTACAGTTAGTCTGACTGGTGTCTCTAAATTCCCTGAACTATGTATATGAGTGTATGTGCAGTGTGCAGCCCCCACCCCCCAAGCCTTGACCTGAATAAGCAGTTGGAAGATGGATGGATGGAATCTATCAGTTGTTTCTAGACACCAAGAGACAATCTGTTCTTGAAATGTCATATAAGGGATTTTTCTCAAAACATGCTTCCTAATTTCTGCTTCCTAATTTCCTTTTTGTATTTTTATGGATGTGAGATTTCTCCCGGTTTAAAAGAAATTTGGGAATATTTACGTACAAATTCTTAAATGTTTGACTGCTACGGTTACTCATATCCTACAGAAAAATGAATGTCTTAAAGTTTACCATTATTTGTTGTAAAAGTTGCTCTTACTTTTCAAAGTACTGCTTCTATTGATTCATATAGGAATGGTGACAAATGTTGAATAAACAACTGTAAAATCATTAACAGCACAGTGGTACATTATTGACTAATCTCTAAATGCAACTAATTTGACCTCATGGTATATGGTATTAAATATCTGTAAAACAAGTAAACAAGGAATACTGCTGGAAACATTGTGGGGGAGTTTAAGGGCTTTTGTTAATAGTATTGTAAATAATGATTTAATAAATCCAGTGTCTAACTACTTAATCTGTCTGATAAGTGACAGTGGATGTTCCTAGAGTTGGTGACATAATAAAATATTCTGTAAAAGAAACAGTTGTTGGTGTCTCTGTAAAAATGCATGTATGTAAAAAAATTGCCATGTTTTAGTACAGCATTAGATACTTAAGGTCATAAGTTACAAAAATGTCTATATATTAACATAAAAAAAAAGATGGGGTCACATTTTTTAACAAAACAGAATATTTTTTAAACACAGTTGCATATGTATTAGAAATTAAATATATCTTATGATCCCAATGGGGAAATCTTTTGCATAGACCAGCATGCATATATCAAGTGCACAAATACATACAAACAAAAAAAACGTGTTCAACTGGTTTGCCCAAAATAATCTATTTTGGAAAAAGGAGTACTTAAGCAAAATGAATGAACTCATTGTCAAACCGTTGTTACTTTATAGAGAAAGAGGAATGGGTGTATTACGCAGATGCGTGCAAAATAAAATGCACTGTCAACACCACAGAAACAAGGCAAGGACTGTGAGAAACCAGCAAGGGTATATTTGAGACTGTTTTGCGATGGACACACAGAGACATATTCTGGGTTTCAGCCATTCAAGTCCACCAAGAGTAGATATTCTTGTTGGTCAAATGTGACCATGTCAACATCTCTCTTCTACCATGGCCTTGCTGGAACACTGTGTGGGTGTAACGGCTCTTTGCTTTGATCTCTCTTGTGCATGTTGCACACTTCAGAGTTGTTCATCATATCCGTATAGTCTGTGCCTGTGTTTGCACTACACCAAAGAACAGGCTATTGCACTTGTCTGTGACACCAGTGTCATTGACTGCATGCATTTTCCTCAATCTACACATCTTGCAGTGATTCATTTTCTCACAGTTCTCACGCCGCTTGCCATATGCAAGGCAGCTGCATGATACATATTCAGTTCCAATTCTTTTGCAGTTAAACTTGCTTGGTTTATCTTTCTCACTTACTTTGCAAGCCAAACTTACTTTTCCCAGTCATTCCGTATCTAATCACTCAGTTTGTGAACAATTTCCCAGGTGACCCTCTCATATTCATATGAAGAATTTGAACCATCTGAATGATTCATTGTTGCATATTTCACAAAGACAATACAGTATTTTGAAAATATTTCAACAAAGTGTTTGGTCATTATATTTCACTGTGACAATGTTGAATTCTTGCGGATTAAATATTAAAAAATCATAACTGCAGAAAGAAGCTCAGCAACACCACCAAATCTTTGTCAGATCATATTTATATTTATACATGGTAAAATATGAAAATGGTGGTTAACTGCCCACATGATCAAATAAGGACATGAAAATGGGCAATTCTGAAATTTGATTATTGAGCACATTCCAAAAAATTATTCTGACACCGCTATAAGATTAATAAATATGTTTACTGCATACACATGGCATAATATGTTGTAAATAGAAAAAAACAACGCTTCATCTAACATACTGTTCGAGCAAGAAGCTCTCAAAGATGACGTCGTTTTACGTTTCGAATTTTCGGCCATTTTTAGAGCCTTTCAGAGTACATAAAAGTACATTCTAGACAAAGCCCTAGTCTCGAAATTTCAATGGAGAACATGTTATATCAATGGAGGTATGAATGCTGGAAGATGAACCATAAGGTTTGTTCAACAATGAAAAATTAAAATGTATTTTCAAAACTATTAGAGATACAGACCTAAAATTTGGAAATTCTCCATAAGTTTTTCCCGCAGTCAGCTGTCTCTAAGGATTCTCGTAATTGTCCAAATGAACTTCGGCCATAGCTTTAGCTCCTTAACGTACTGGTCAATCAACAGGTCCCGACACACAAAACTTACAGCTCTCATACGTTATATATTTTTGAGTTACAGGCCTCCTCGAATTTTTCCATCCGGACGGTCACCGGCTTTATCCAACGCGGAGGTACCGTCCACGTTAACCGCTTCTTCACAGGCTACAGCCGCTACACGAAGGCGGATAGGACTGTACCTAAGCCGGCATTCTAGCCGCTGCGACCGGGTCAAGTCCGACCAGTGACTTTAACTATTCAATTTCGCGATAATCGATTTGTGTTTCTTTATTTTTTTTGGGGGGGGGGGGCAGCTGCTTTAATTCTGACGCCGTTTTTCCTGACTGACTTACAGAGACTCATCCCGCGTTTCAGCCGCGTACCTCATTCACCTGCCCCGTCCTGTCCAATCCGGAAGTCCTCTCGGCACGTAACGGGGCATCTGATTGGTGGATCAGTCTCCTATCATGACGGAGACACGTTCCCATTTGATGCTACTGTACGTTGCCGATGCCGCATATTACTGCTGATAAAGACCCGAAGTTCCTGTCAGCGTTCGTCGGATACGCAGGTAATAAATATCTTTTTGTCCCGGTTGAGTGCCGCTATTGTTTCCTGTGGTCGTTTTACTATATCCTTCAAAAACCTGTGGAAGCTTTGCTAACGTGTACTACAGTCAAATAATATTTAGAGTGAAGTTACTTCATAATTCTCCAGTGACTTTACGAAGGCATTAATTTATTGGCACGTTGATTTCTTTTTTCGTTTTTTTTTTGCAGGTTAGGTCATTCAAATCCACCGGCTTCAGAACCTAAATTGCCCTCGATAGACAAAATCTGTCAGCCATCCCTACTTATACCGTAAATTCTATCGTCTGAAAATTTATTGAAAAATATTATTTATTTACAGGGTAGTAACGGTTATTAAATACATAAACAGAGTTTTTTATGTTATGTCACGCGTTTATTCTGTGTGTTCTACTGTATAGCAGTGTAATGCTTGGAGTTTGTCTGTGCAGGGGATCATTTTTCAGCAAATTTGTCTTCTCAAGTTGTGCTTGTGAGACTATATCCTATATTAAGGGTCAGTAGAAGTAATCTTAGAGCATTTCTCAGTTTTCTCTGCAAGAGCTTACATTTAGGAAATCAAGTTACATCTAGGAAATCAAATCAAACAGCGTAATTCCACCTGGAAGATGTATGGGTAACCCACTGTGTTACTCGCTAACACTAAATGAGCTCTTCTGTTCCTTGTACTTGTGTTGGCTTTCATCGAGGGCCATGGGCTTCTCCATCAGCTCACTGTCACGAGCTGAAGTGCGCTGTGCAAAGCCACTCGGTCCCGCGCTACCTCGCCGCACCTACCAGTATGCGCCGAAATACAACTACAAGTGGACTGAGGTCCACTACGAAGCGAGCCGTGGAAACCTGGACAAGCTGCGCATGCTCCTCTTCACCTTGGGTAACAAGACTGACATTAGTCATCATCATAATTATCATGAAGAAGCTAGCTGGTACCTCGATCTTCATTTAATAAAGGTCCATAAGGGACCATAACATGAGACAGAGAAGAGCAGCAAACAGTCAATGGGTCAGAAAAATACTGTAACAACTCACAAAGTGGGGTTTCTGATGTCAGATCAGACACTTATTTGATGATGTTGCCCTCCAAAGGAGTCACACATGTATTTCGAGTTTACCTAAAGAGATGCATAACCACTAAATAGCCAGTGTGATACCTGTAAATAAACAGACAAACAACAAGAGGATGGCACCAGCTTTCAAATGTAAATGATGGTATTGCATTGTATGGAATAATTACTCCTGTAGTAGGGTAATTAGGGTTACACAGTAAATAAATGTACAATAAATTCAACACATATTTAAATGTCCTGTTTTACAAAATCCTGCAAGAATATATGAATACATACGAATGAGGGAAGAATTAAATTAATCCCATTATTTCCTTTGACTGTTGGCCTTCCCAGACAGAGAACAGATTGACAGGAGGGACTACTATGGGAAAACACCTCTGTACTGGGCAGCGTACAAGGGTCAGAGGGCATCCTTAGAGTTACTTCTGAGGCACGGAGCAGATGTTAACGCCCAGTGTAAACATGGCAGTACCCCTCTGCATGCCACAGTGGGGCTATTTCCCGAGTGTGCTCTCATTCTCATAAGGGTAAGACCTGATTGTGCACTTATTAGGCAAGCAGGTGTAATCTGCATCTGTGCAGCTGGTCCCCCATGTGAGAAGAAGGCAAGCTCATCCACTCACCCATGGACTCAAATATACATAACAAAACCTTACCATGTATGTGCATGTCATTTTTAACCCTGTACATTGGCAGTGAAGCTTTTCCCTCTCCCCCCCCAAATCTTATATCCATACCAATGTATGCCGGTCGTCATACACAGTGATTTGCTGACTGGCCTGCAGAAACTTCATATTTGTGTCTTTTTGAGCAGCATGGGGCTGATGTGGATCTCCCAGATGTCTGGGGGGTCACGCCCATGTACCAAGCAGCTTGCAGTGGCCAGGTGCAGTGCATCCATCTGCTGGTTAGGGCTGGAGCCAGGATCAACTACAAGAACAAGGTACATCCTTCCTGAGAGGTGCATGCTTGCTTTTATGAAAAGCTCTGATGAAATCTGTGAAAAAAATCCCCACAACAGGTCGGCCCGTAATGGCAGACATTACCCGTTATCACTCTGTAATATATTAATTTTGCTTGTATTTTTAATTTTAACATTGTTAAAATGTGGGGCAGCAGGTGTCATGTTTAAGAGCATTTACTTCATCTTAGAGAGTCCTGGGATAAATTCATGAAGAAGTCCTGGTTTTGTACATTTGAGCAAGATAGTTAGCCAGCAATGCTCCAATGAAATTAACACCTGTTTAATGTTTGTTTGGCACCAGCAATGCAGTGAAGTATAGAGTGAGGTTATGATGCTTTTATTTGTTTGTCTATTTGTTTTTGTTTGTTTGTTTGTGTAGAAGACGGGCGAGGCTCCAAAGCAGCTGTCCGTCAGACCTGCTCTGCTGAACTGGCTGGAGAGCCTGTTGCGAGAGCCACACTCCCTCAAGCACCAGTGTCGTCAGGTGGTGCACCGTGCCCTGGGCCCGGCCCGCATCTGGGCCCTGGGCTCCCTCCCACTACCTCCAGCTATCAGGGACTACCTCATGTTCCAGGATCTGCAGATCCCTGACAGTACAGGGCTGGGTCCTTCAGAGGATCAGGCCTTTGGGTAAGGAGAACAAACCACCACCTGAGGAGAACATTCATCACTAAAGCTTTTTCTACAAAATAAAAATGCTTTTTGATTGTTGGAGTCATTGAGTGTGATGTGGACCCAACACAGTGGAGGTGCTGTTAGCATGAACTGGGCTTAAATTTTTTGAACTCGCCATTGAATTTGTGAATTTGTAAAAAATCTGAGGAAGGATTACTGAAGAATATATTTCTACAAAGTAGTGTTCTTTGGCTGCTGAGTCCTTTTTTGGAAAATATTCAGTAGGTGATGTGTGATTCTATTGATACCTATTATCGGGTGATTTATGTTCTTTATTTGACTTGAGCAGTGAAGGTTCCTCTCTTCGGAGGCTGTGAGCCCAGTAACCAGCATGTCCCCAGTGCCATCGTATGTCCCGTGGGCCCTAGGCTGTGGAGAGCACTTGCTTGTGTTTAAAGCTGGTAACAGTGTCCCGAGTTACCAAGCACCAACATCAGCTTCTAATGATGAAAGCGGGGACCTGTATGTCTGAGTGTTTATCTCACTTTTTTTCATCCCAATTTGATCTCACTATGCTGGGCTGGGCTCTCACTAGGTTGTCTGTTAGCTGCCAGTCTAGGTAAACAGTTATTCTGGATCATGAATTTGGTCATTTAGAATGTTCTATATATAGTGGCTTGCAAAAGTTATTCATGGCACCAGTAATCAGATTTGCCTAAATTACAAATGATGGATATACAGTAGTGCTTGTGGTTCACGAACACTGTGGTCTACAAACAATTTGGTTCGTGACCAAAAATTTAGTGGAAAAAAATGCATTGGTTTGTGTACAAAATTTGGTCGACGAACAGATTCCTCGACCAGATGCCTTTTGTATACTAGTGTAGCACCGGCGGGGCACATGTCCCAGCATGCCCCAGCATGCCCCAGCATGCCCCAGCATGTCCCAGCATGTCCCAGCATGTCTCATGTACAATTGTAAATAAAGGGACCACAACAGGCAACCAACGAGCACCGAACCCAAATACACAGACGCAAGGTTGTCAGACACCGAACTGCAAGATGCACACACGGTGGAAGATTTACACACGCTAAATACACGCGAGGACCAGACCGGGTACACACAAAACACGGGCAAATACATGTGTGACAATAGGGAAATGCAACCATTAACATTAACAACAACAACAATACAAGGGTTAAGGACTGTTAATAAAGAGCGTGATTTCCCCGGCAAGCAAGTCTCCATGTCTCTCTGCTCCCGCAATGACTCGGCCCACCTGTCGCCACACTATATTGTGTTTTTCTTTAAAGTTTTTAACTATAAAAACCAGAAAATTAATTTAAAATTATCTGGTACACTTATGAACTACATGTAATTAATTGAATTTCAGTGCTTTCTTATGGGAAAAATTGCCTTGGTTTATGTACAAATTGGTTCACGACCACTTTCCTGGAACGGATTGTGTTCGTGAACTGCAGACAACACGGTATATTCTTCTTCTCAGTATTTTTCATGGAAGGTCATAGTCTCTCACAGTAAAATTTCAAAGTCAAAATTAATTATTTGTCAGCAAATGTTTTAAAGAAAAACAAAAACTGAAGAATGCTGTTTGCAAAAGTATTCCACCCCTACACATTTGTATTGTGTTTGTACATAGTATTTGGTAGAGCAGGGGTGGCCAATCTTACCCAGAAAGGGCTGTTGTCTATGCAGGTTTTCCCTGTAACTCCCTAATTAGGATACTAATTAGAGAATTGATTGGCTGAGTCCTCCTCACACCTGGGTTTGAACAGCTGACCTAAAGGTTATCCCAAAAACTTGCATACACACCGGCCCTTTGTGGATAAGATTGGCCACCCCAGTGGTAAAGCCATCTATTGCTGCAATAACAGCTCAATGTCTTTTGGGGTATGTAGCTATCAGCTTTTTATACTGTTCAGGACTAGATTTGTCCATTCTTCTTGGCAGACTTGCTCTAGGTCATACAGCTTGGTTGGGTGTCTGTTGTTGACTGCAGTTTTCAAAGACTGCCATGTTTTCTCAGATCTGGATTTTGACTTGGCCACTGAAGAACACTTACATTTTTGCTGTTTAACCACTTCTGCATGGACTTGTTTTCCCCAAGCTCTAATTTTTTTGCAGATGGAAGCAGGTTTTCATGTAAGATATCCCTGTATTTTGCTCCATCGATTCTCACTTCAATTTTGACAAGATGCACAGGTCCTGAGGCATGGGCCTCTATGCACGGGTCCTGAGGCATGGGCCTCGATGCACGGGTCCTGAGGCATGGGCCTCGATGCACGGGTCCTGAGGCATGGGCCTCGATGCACGGGTCCTGAGGCATGGGCCTTGAGTAATACCTTCATTCTAGCTGTCCTCTCAAACAGGCTGGCAGTATGCACTGCTTCTGTATGCAGTCTGCCCATGAAATGGTTTTTCATCTTTACTCGACTCTCAGCCACTGATCCCTGTAGCTCCTTCAGAGTGACCCTTGGCCTAATTTTTGCTTCCCTTACCAGTCTCCTCTTTTGAACTGGTGGACGGCTTGGCCTAGGCAGTGTCTGGTGCAATTCCATGTTCCCATTATTGATCCAGTGCTGGGATGTCCAAACTCTTGGAATCTTTCCATTGGTACTGAAAATGGTAGCTTCCTGATCACAAGGGTTCAATACTTACGCAAGTAGCATTTTTCAGCTTTTGATTTTCTTAAAAAGAATATTTGATTTTGAGTATTTACTGCTACAAATTATGAGCTTGTAATAAATACCGCCCAGTAGAAATATGTGTATGTCCATCAGTCCACGTTCCAAACCTCCTTGTCCTACGCAGGGACGTGAGGGTCCGGACCCTATCCTGGAAGCTACAGACACAAGGCAGGGCATAAGCCATGATGGGGTAGCAGACAATCACAGGGCACATTCACACACCAGTCACACACACATTCACACTTGCAGACAATTTGGTAACTCCAATACACCTTAGCTTGTTTTAGACTGTGGGGGAAGCTAGAGTACTATGGTGAAACAGGGCGAGCATGCAAACTCCATACATGCAGCCAAGCCAGCCATGAATGTGTGTGTGTATGTATTGTAATTCAGGCAAATCATTATTTCAAGGGGGGTCAAATTCTTCTGCAAGCCATTGTATATTCATCGTCTGTACAGATCTTCAGATTAAAGTGCAATACTATGCTTTATTCATCCTTGTGGGAACCTTGGTGAGTTTTCACACGTCCCTTTGAGACGCAGAGCATAAACGCACAGAGGACAGCAAGTTTTGGGGTGAAGGCACCAGACTGGCCAAGGTCCAGCACCCCTGGAGCAGTTGGGGTTAGGGGCTGCGCTAAAGGCTGGGTATGTAGCCAATATAGTGGTTTTTCTTACTCTCTGACATACAGAGTACAATTTTCCTCCTTGTAAGTACAGATCAGTAAGCAGCCCTGGTGCTTGTTGACGTGATGAATAGCACCATGCCTGAGTGAGCCATTGTGTCAACAGGTACTGCCTGCAACAACAGCTGACGCAAGTGTTAGAAGAGGGAGCAGTCTCTCTGAGGAGCATGGAGTCTCTCGTTATGTCTCAAAATAGCAATAACTGTGTACAGCTCAAAGACAAAGCCTTTTAACAGGGGAAACTGAAAGGTTTTATTTGTGAGTCAGGCTTATTGTCAAGGTGACATTACCATAAAGATTATGCTCCTTTATACAGACTATGCAGTGTGCAGATCATATATACATGTGCTGTGCATTTCTAAGATAAGGAAACCCTTTTAATTCCGGCTTTGCCCGACCCCCCAGCTCCTGAACCCGTCTCACCTTCGGAGTCGCGCTTACTGGCTGCATTCCCATCTGCTTCTCATCGGCCTGCTCAGGTTTCCTTCGCCTCGTGCTGCAGCAGTGGCCTCGGATTTTCAGTTTGTCGGTTTGCCGACCGTGATCTATTTAAGACGTTGCATTATAAATATTTCCCAGGGACTGTTACCCTGTAGAGCAGGGGTGGGCAAACTTATCCGCATAGGGCCGCTGTGTATGCGGGTTTTCACTGCAACTCCCTAATTAGATTACTAATTAGAGGACTGATTGGCTGAAGAGTCCTCACACCTGGGTTTGAACAGCTGACCTACAGGTTATCCCAAAAACCTGCATACACACCGGCCCTTTGCGGATAAGATCGCCCAGCCCTGCTGTAGAGTGAAATGGACGGGGTGAGGAAAGGTAAGTATGCTAAAAAAAGGAAGCCCTCACTTAGAGGAATGGGCTTCATGTCCAAGGTAGGTGTCAGGCTTGGTCTCAGAAGTAGCCTGTAATCTGGGGAAGGAGCTGGCAGGTATTTATGTCTGAAGAGGTTTGATATTATATAGAACTTCAGGGGTACATCTGTGAGTAGCTTTGGAGTAAAATGTGGGGTCAACAATAAAAACAATAATAATGTGCTGCACGAATGGATGGATGGATGGATAACATTCAGGTTCTCTCTGCAAAGCATCCATGGAGACTATACAGCTGCACCGTCAGTCCCCCTGCAATTATGGACAGTAGCTTTTGTTCTTTCTTCTCTGGCATGTTCCTGATCATTAACACAGAAGAGCAGAACGTGTTCAATTTTTAACGCTTTGTGCTCTGTAAACCTCCATATACCGACCACTTATACTTTTCAGTAGGATTTAGGGCATGTTGTTTTTCGAATGAATGATTTCCATTATGAAAAGCAGTGTGCATGTGCCCAGACATGTTTCACATAATAACATCAGAAGTTATTTCAGACCCCTATTTATATGTCAGCCACTCTAATAACAGGTCTGTCCATTATTTTTAACATGTCATTGAAGTGCCTTCTCAGCTGAGAGTGCTAACGGTTTAGGTCGGGAACAATGATATACTGGCACTCAAGTGCTTGTATCAAGTGTTGATATTTTTAACATCGCTGTAATTCCAATATCACTGCCTTCCAATGCTACTTCAGTGGCCTTTTATCAACTCCCCCTGTCTCCTATAAATGGCAGGAAAACAGGTCAATAGCCATACGTGTTCAACACATCACATACAGTATGGACATTTATAGTACAATGAAATCACCGTGCGGTATATTTACAAACATTGTGCTTGGCTTGGCTGTCTCAGTATAACTTATCTGACCGAAGTGGAAAATATGGAGCTCCTCCCACAACAGATGTATTAATGATCGAATGTCCTTAACTGCTGGCCCAGGTTAACTTCCATACAGAGAACTGTCTCGACCATCTGTCCCACCTAAACCAAAATATCCCCAACATGCTGATCTGTTGCCAGTAGAGCAAGGGGTATAGGAGGGGAAACGTGACGGAGGAGGGGTGTGCAAGGCTGGGGGATTCCCATGTCCACTGGTCCTGCTGGTGACACGGGATGACCGACACCCGCTCAGTCATGCAACAAAAGCCATGTGTGGGACAGCTACGGACCGACAGGACCCCGACTCTGTGAGTAACCGCATATACAACAGCATTATCTGCAAGTGAAATCGATGGGAAAAGGTCTGTTTGCGGCTAAACCACTGAAATAGATGCACCAAGCAAGTTAAGCCTAATGATCAGTCTTAGTCAATGCTATAAAGATCTGGAAGAAAAACTTGTAATTAAACGTACAGTAACAGAACTTTTTCGAGATTTAGTCTTACACAACCACTTAGTGGTAAACTTTAAGAAGTTCTGCATTGAAAAAGGGCTTTTAATGTAAGTCTATGTATATTATCCATTACCATGAAGTTGCCATGGTTACAGTGTCTCTTGGTTAATTTTATTATTATTTTTTTAATTATAAATATTGACAGGTGTCTTTAGCAGTCACTTAAAGTTTCAGTTTTTCATATTTAGACTTAAACTACACCTTCATTGTTAGTATATGTTTGTTATTTTTGAATTACATTTGATTTATAGTGTTTTGGTGGATGCCATAGATCAGGCCTGGGAAATGAGTTTCTGCCAAGGGCCAAATCGGGGCTTCCTCATGTCAACAGGGGCCATTTTTAATGATTATTTTCAAGTTCCATGAAAGCTACAATAAGACACTTTGCTGAATATATTAATGCATTCATTTAATTAGTAATTGTATTTAAGAAAGCACTTCTGTATGTAGCATTTCTGGCACTAAGAGCACAACAGAGGCCCTACTTGCCATATACTGTAGCTCCTGTGAAGCTCTTTGAAAGCAAACCACAGACTGTCTAAAAGTAGCTCATGGCTCTCTCACCCCATGCAACTTGACCCTCCACAACACAGAGGTGACCCTGATCCCGTCTGTATACTGTGACAGAGAGGTGAGGTCAGGGCACTTCCTAGACTACCTTTACAGAGCGTGCACACATGCTCTAAGAAAAAGAATTGCCGAAATGCAGTGTTAGTGCTGCATTTTTCTCATTCTTGGAGCTGAAGCTTGGCTGGGTCTTTTGGGGGGCAGGGGGGGGCTCAGTGGGCCGTGCCCGTGTTCAGAAGGTCGCCAGTTTGAGCCCGGCTTCCCCACGTCTGAGTCCTTCAGCAAGGCCCCTAACCCCCAGCTCCCTGGACACCGTAACAGGTGGCTGCCCTTTGCAGCTTGCTTGCTCTCACCTACAGAGAGCAAATTGAGGGATGGATAAAGAGGGTTTTCCCATAGGAACCAATGAAGTATCAGTTACTATTATTATTATTATTTGCCATGGCAACAGAACTAACACAGGCCAATCCGGCCAACCAGATGATGTCAGCAGGTTCCTGAAGATGGACCGAGAAATGATGTGTGACCAGGACAGTCCCAGCGAGTACCGTCACAGTAGGTATTCCCTGAGGAGAGCGCTGGTGCCCACTAACAGCATGCTAACGTGTTAGACTCTGAAGCAGTGTCATTGTCACTCTACCTTCTTTGCTCCTCCATGACTGCCAAACACTCTCTCTCTTCAATATTTACTGTATATTTTCGCATGCATTCTTCATAATATTACTATGAAATCTTTTCCAAGTTAACAGAAGAAGAATACATAATGCTCTTTTTGCTATTAGAGCATGCTATCATATATTTGCTTTAAATGATATAATTTAATTCTAGAGCCTCAGGGATGCAGAATATTTGAAATGGTTGGAGGCCAGGACTGGTTTAGAAAATAAGCTGATAATTGCGTTAATGTTTTGTTTGTGGGGGGCGGGGGCAGTTTTTATTGGGTAGTTTACATTTTAAAAGTGACAGTGCATTTTAAAACGGTGGTCAGCTACAGTGTCACTCTGATGTGTCTGTAGGGGGATACTACCTGGTGCAGGTGGGGGACATATTAAACGGACGCTACAAAGTGCTGACCAAGCTCGGATGGGGCTACTTCTCCACTGTATGGCTCTGTTTGGACCTCAGGTACCCCCCCCCCCCATTCTCCATATTGCCATATTGCAGCAGCGTCACATGACCTGTCCCCGCTTGCTCCTCCTGCAGGCTCTCCCGGCGAGTGGCTCTGAAGGTGTTGAGGAGCGGGCCCGGCTTCACACAGGTGGCGCAGGACGAACTGGCCCTGCTGCGCTGTGTGAGTGCCTGTGCCCCCCCTCCCCCCAGCCGCGCTCCCCTCACATTGTGTTCTGGGCACACTATTGCACCTTATGGGAAAGTTAGAGGCACCGGTTCATCTAGCGACATGTTTTTGGACTGCGGGAGCAAACCAGAATAACCTGGGGAAAACAGGGCCCTCCGCAGGGAGAGTATCTAGGTTGGCACAGCCTGGAAATTACAACCTCATCCCTGTATGTGTGAGACCACAGTACAACCTTTCAGCTCTGATTAATTCACCATATACTCCTTGTACCCTCCATATGGTGCTATACTCCATTGCTGCTCTATTTCAGTTTAATATCTTTGTCGTCATAGCAAATTATAATAGACCGTACACTTTGGCTGAAGGTAAATCATTGTCGCTCTGGTTTTTGCTGGAGAAGTAGTCTGAATTACCCATAATTCTTTTCCCCATTGACATGCCCCGTCTCCTCCTCTTTCTTTCATATCTCCAGGCAGGTGGCCCCAGCAGTAAGCATATGCACAGCCAGCGCATTGTCCGGCTGCTGGATGACTTTAAAGTGGTCGGCGAGAACGGGATCCGTATCCTTTGGCAGACAGCCGGGTTCCGTGTGCATTCTGCAAGCGTAGCCTGCAGTCACATGGCCTTGATCAGACCTTGACTCAGTCTTGTCAGACATGTGTCTGGTTCTGGAGCTGCTTGGCCCAGACCTGTATAGCTGGCAGGAATGTTTTGGAGACCCTGGACTTTCTGTGCTCTGGGTTAAACATATCATTAAACAGGTATATATAAGAGTATTCATTAATAAGTAAGCTCAAACTGAAAATGGGAAAAACTAATACTGTAGGTGTGTGTGTGTGTGTGTGTGTGTGTGTGTGTGTGTGTGTGTGTGTAATTCTGCATTGTATCCCTATAGACTTAATTTATTAAAAGCTGTACAGAATAAATAACTGGTTATAACTTTTGTTGTTCACAGGTTCTGCAGGGACTTGACTATTTACATACCAAGTGTAAAATAATACACACAGACATAAAGCCAGAAAATGTGCTGCTGTGCTTTGGAACGCAATCAAACAGTCAGACAGCAGGGGGCGACGTAGGATCAACACAGACCACTGGCCAAGAAACACAATCCAGGAATGGTGATGGTAATGCATATGATAACAGCAATGTATCTATTATTATACTGCTCTATACTGCTTATTATATTATTCTCTGAGAGGTTCGTGTTAAAGCACTGGGCTGCACATGCACTACCAATTTTATTTTACTTGCAACTCGTCAATCCCAGCCAACTGCACATCCCTAGTGTCATACATCCATGTGCCGCTCAAGCAGGACGCGTCTGTGTCGGCCTCCTTTCCAGGAAAGGACCCTTGGACATCGACGGCACTGGAGGACATCACGGTGAAGATCGCAGACCTGGGCAGCTCCTGTTGGGTGGTACGCGTTAACGTCTGTCGAGCTTCTCGGAGGATAACAAAGGAGGCCGTCAGCAAGTGTCTTTACGTCTTTGGCTGAATACCTTGTTTCTGTTCTCTGCCAGTATAAGCACTTCTCTGAAGAAATCCAGACGCGTCAATACCGATCTCTGGAGGTGCTTCTGGGTGCAGAGTACGGCCCGCCGGCTGACATCTGGAGTGTCGCGTGCATGGTGAGTCGGACCCACACACCCAGCCTGCATTATTGTCATTTCACGTCAGAGCTATTGCCTTTCATACTGCCTTTCTTCTAAGTCAGCTGTTTATTATAATTTTGTTGCTTGATATTTTCTCCGCAGCAGTTTTACTAAATCATGTAGTTATATATTAAATTGGACTGATTCAAGTAAAAGTAGTTTGCTCAGGGTTACCACGGTGACAGCGTGTGGCTCTGCAGGTTAGGGGTTAGGGCCCGTGGAAGGTTGTGGGTTCAAACCCATGGCTGGCAAATTAATGTCACCGTTGGGCCCTTGACCCCAATTGCTCCAGGGACTGGCTCAGCACCCTATCTAGTCCATAATGTATATCACTTTGGGCAAAAGCAACTGCTGAAATATGTATTATGGTGGGGTTGCTGTCCTTAAATATTGAGCTGTCTGTGCCCTTTTAAGTACACCAAGAATACAAGAAACATATTAAGTATATCTTCTCTCTAACCATGTGATCTAGTACAGGGCCATGATTGGGCCCTGAAGCCTGTTCCAGGGTAAAAGGCTCATTTTAATACTTGAATCTGCCAATTTTACAGGCATTTGAACTGGTGACTGGAGATGCCTTGTTTGAACCTAAAGCTGGACGCTGCTTCTCTTTAGAGGAAGGTTTGTTGAAAATATTGAGGTTTTTTTTAATTTTATTTATTTAAAATGAATAATACTTTTGTCATTTTATTGATTAACCTACCAATTTTTTTACAGACCACATTGCTCATATTATTGAGCTTCTGGGAAGAATCCCTGCCACAGTGGCTCTTTCTGGAAAATACTCCACCGAGTACTTCGACCGCAGAGGTTAGGAGTATGCTTTTTTTATATATATATATATATATATATATATATATATATATATATATATATATATATATATATATTTTAGTTGTGTATTTTCAAAAATGTTGAATTTGATTTGATTTTCGAGACTGGAAAACATAACAGTATTACATTCACCCCTTGACGTCCATGAGGGTTAGGTACGGAAGACCTCAGCGAATGTGAAAATTCACGTATAATACTTGGGTCCCTGTAACCTTAACGCATATCAGTGAAAAGGTGTATATTTTCAGCTTATGCGGCATCTGCAAGTTTCTGTAATCTTTTGCCAAACTCCAAAAATATTCCCATTTTATTGTTCATGGCCAACTCACGAATAACCAAAACCGTGAATATCAAATTCGTGAATTCGGAGGGGAGACTGTACTTTAGCACATTTTTTTTCACACCTGCATTCAAAATACCATCTCCAATTTCCATGGAACTTGCCCAAGATGAATTATTGTGAGAAAAAAAATAAAAAATCCATTGAGCCTCAACTTTTGTTCTCCTCTTGCGACACAGGAAACCTTCTCAGGATCCGAGTGCTGCGTCCCTGGAGTTTGTACGAAGTCTTGGTGGAGAAGTACCACTGTGGGCTGAAGGAGGCCTCGCTGTTCTCGGATTTCCTGTTGAACATGCTGGACTTCCTTCCGGACAGGAGGGCCACTGCGACCCAGTGCCTCAGCCATCCCTGGCTCAGCTCCTGAGCTCTGAGGGGCCCCTTGTGCTACCTGACCTACGGTTTCTTTTGACTTGCTGGCCACTCTGATCACTAAGCATCTTAGAGTGCTATGAGAAAAGAGCCAAATCTTTGGATTATCAGGAGCAAAAGAATACGGAATGAAAATGGCCAGGGGAACTGAAACAAAGCAAACGACATCTAGTCTATGGACAATATATTACCTTTATTCTAAATTCAGAACATCTTTGGAGATTTTGTCCTAGAGCAGACCTGGAGAAAGCTGACCCACAGGCCTTATCCGGCCTGCAGAGTTATTTTTTCTATATTTTTACCGTAAATGTTATGTCCAATCTATGAAGATTTTAAATATGTTAAACATGAAAAATTCACTTTTGCTTTTTTAAAAATACATTTAGAAATCAATAGAATCAGTGCAATCTAACTACATGTAGTAAGTGTATAATAGTAGCTTTCATGGGGCATGTAAATATTTATTCAAACATGGACCTGCTATAAAATACAGGCCCAGCTCTGTAATATAGAGACTGGGTGCTTGTGCATGATGCTCCTTGGGTAATGCTGTGACAATTCTTCATGCGGCACTTGTTCTTGTTATGGGGTAAAATCATGGCATGTGTCCGCTGAGAATATTATTACATCGTATGATGCAGAAAAGAACTGCTAAGGAAAAAAGTTAGTCTGAAAATTAGTGGAGACTGTGGTGGAAATACCATAATTACAGAAAAGCCTGGTCTCAATCTGCAAGAGACCTCTTCCTATTATACACAGTACAAATTTGTCTTGTAATTTTGTAATTATTATGTGATGATGAACTCACAGGATGGGAATATTAAGCACAAGCGTTTTATGATTGGAAATAAGTAAAGGCTAAATTTCTCTAATGTGCAGGAAGAGAAATTTGACATTTGAATGTGTCACATTTTGTCAAAAGGTAGATTTCATGGCGCATTTCAAATTTAGTCCCATGTTGCCTATGATTTGTGTTTCTTGGGTGACTGACTTTTATCTGTCATTTCCCACAATTCCCACCAGTTTAATTAACTGATAGATAGCGCCATAAGACACCATAAGATATTGGGCACCATCTGTCTAGTCTAAAAAAAGTATGCAGGATGATGCAATTCTCAGACAAGAGCAGCAAGAACATCTTTGGTCCTAACTTTGCTCCTATAGTGAGATTTTCTTAATTCTGGGAAATTCTATATGAAGATATATCCATGAATTCTTATTGATTTAAGCCTTGAAATTGCCCCAAGAAGTGTTGAATATAATGAATATAATGGGGTAAAATTTACAAATCTGTTTGTGTGCACTGCTGCAGAATCTGTTATATGAGTATTTTTACTATTATTAAATTATATCTTTAAAACAGTAATTCATGAACTATAATATAATGTGTTTTAGGTTTATTTATTATTTCCTTCAGATAAAATAAAGCCATATTTTGAAGTGCAATACTGTAGAAACATTAATTAGCCCTTCTTCCCATGTAATTATAGTGCAAATACTAATGCAGACAGTCAATTATCCATCTAATTAATTGCAATGCTGGTTGAGGGTACAAGGAGCAATGGTGTATGTCTGATTTTAGCATCAGAACCAAATCAGGCCTGAAACCCTTGACCCTTAAACACACATAATATTCCCACAAAATTGGTAGGGACACATCTCTATCCTCTATGCATAAATCTACGGTCATGCCAGCAAGCTATAATAGTTAAAAAGTTACAGCACGTAAAAAACACTGTGAATTATCATGTTTTTTGTGCTTTATAATTTTTCACTTTATTTCAAAGTAATATTAATTTTAAAAAACATGTATTTGGTCTGGAAGGTATGTGTAATTCACATTTCATCAAATTTCAAATCAAAATCAAAAATGGTGATGCCATTTGTTGAATTAAAATAGAATGGAACTGGAACTGGAAATTTTAAGAGTAAAATACTTCGAAAATGTCCATCATAGTAAATCTTTGTCCAAGCTCCATAATTTACAGGCTTTGACCGTTCCTAAAATTCACTGAATCCGTTATGAGAAGCCGCTATAGCTGATTGACTTCTTCTGGAATCTCTCCTGGAAGTAATATCGAAGTTTTGTATAAATAAATCTCTGTAACATGCAAGATCCGTTTAAAATACGCCATTTACTCTGGCTGGAAATAAACATGCTTAGCTCCTAGCTGCACATTTGAATGTATCGATGGCAATGCATTAAACTAATTATCATGGATTTCATTTAATTATAACGCATTCTGCCACATGACTGTGGTGATTTTCATTGTCCTTTGCCACCTTCCGGTTTGCTAAACATACCTGCGCTACTTAATAAATTCAATGCTTATTATATAACAGTAATTTTACCTTTATTGAGAAGCATATATATAACTTCCAGCATTTAAAAAAAAAATCCATAACCATATATTTCGTTACTATACTGTCGAATCCTCTTTATGCGTGATGTCATTACCGTCAAATTGACCAGAATGCGACCGTCTTCAGTGATCTAGAGGGCTACAGCCGTCCTCCCGAGAAAAGAAAACCTAAAGTCATACTCCTGCCTTATTTACTATATATATATCCTATCTGCTGGGTCATTTAGGGGCTTGAAGAGACGCGGATCCTAGCCGTGCAGTTCAGGTCAGAGGATTCCTTAATCAACTTTCCGGGAATGCATGACATTGACGTCATCCCATATGCTATCCGTGAAGCTTGCTAACCAGCTCGCCATCACCCCGCTTAGCTCCTATTTATATCGGAGAGAACGCGTAATTCATCCCTACTGTATGCCATATTGACGAATAAGCCAGTGGATGTTATAATGTAACAATTTGTAACAAGCTAAATGATAGCAGACAGGGTTGCGCCGTGTTGAAGCGGTGCCGTGGCTATTGTTTAGCGCTAGCTCTTGCGGACTAGCTGCTTGCTGTTGTCCATAGACAGCTTGTAAAATACAGCGTATATCCCTATAATTTCGTTCTTTTTTAATGTTCAAAGCCGGTTAATGACATAACAACAATAGTAAAGGACCTGACATGATAATTCTAGCGGCGGTCTTATAAGCATCCAGTAATGTATTAACATTATTTAGACAGTATTGGATGTCTATTACAGTGTTCATATGCAATGTCAGAAACATGTATGGCAGAAACAAAATGGTGCATATTTTAAATGAACAGATTGTTGCCTATGTCTCCCTACTTGTGTCCCGCCTGCTAGAGAACAATGGAGCCCAGACAGCAGGCAGCCCCAGAGCCGACTTCCCAGGAAGTTAACCTCGTCTACCTGCAGCAGCTCCGGGAGCTCGATATCCCCGAAGAGGCTGCCAAGCAGGTTGCTGCTCCTACCTTGTCCTCCCACATCACTGCTTCATCTCATGGGACTGGCATTTACTGCATTACCTGTGTTAGTTAATCTGGTACCAGACTAAGGATCTTTTTGGGATTCCTGCCTTCAGTGATGTACAATCATTGTCATGTTCAGATATAGGTACCTCAACCAGTCAGTCTAAATTTAAATCAGCAGGTTATTGATTCATATGGGATATTTAAACATTTTGCATAGGAAATACAATTCAATAAAGCCCAGTATGTAAAAAAAAGTAAAAGTATATAAAGGAGATTTTTCAGGGAATCTCTGACCCCCTCTCTTGGGAAAATAATGTATGTTCATGTGAAACTCACAAAATTGAAACGTTCATTCATCTAACTTCCAACTGGCTGACAGATGAGAGAATAACTCTTCCTTCTTGGCTTCAGACTCCCCTCTATCCGGCACTGCAGCAGTGTCTGTAGATGCATTCCTGTGCCATGTTATTGCGCGTATTTACATTGCTAAGATGTGAATTAGGTGTCTCGCTGGTTTCCCTCAGGCTCTCCTCCACACCAGGAACGTGTCTGCTGAGGAGGCTGCTATGTACTACTTCAACAAACTGGAGAATGAGGTCCTGTCAGCAAAGCTTTGTGGTGTGTGGCTGGGTCGGGCGTGGAGATACTTTTGGCATTAAAAATGTCGCTGTTCCTTTTTCAGGAGGAAGATGATGAAGATGTACTTTTCAAGATGGTGTTCGTAATCAATATGGACCTGTCCATGGGTGTGGGAAAGGTTAGTCTTATATTGTTCAGGCTGGAATTTGGTGAAACTGGATCTCTGTATATGCATTACTTTGTTCTCATCAGTGACATTTCCAGTTTTCTCATTTCTCATCGGCATGACACCCGTGTTAACCTAGTCGGGTAAAGATTAGCACATGCCTTCTCCAGACTATGTGCTATGAGCCATGCACTTTAAGAGCTGCAGGCCTCACTGAGTGACAGTATTATTTAAGGATAGTGGTCAGTTCTACCCACAGTTTAATAGAATCCCAGAGAGGGGCACATTGGGAGTAACCCAGCTATCTAAAATCCTGAAAAAAACAGGTAAATTCTGCATTTCTTGGCACGCTGACTACAAACGGCTAATGTGACACAGCAGGGATCAGACCCAGCTTCCTACTGTATGACATCTCTGAATGGGAAATCTGTAGGTTAAAACTGGCCCATGAAACAGATTATAGCAATACCAGTAGCAGAGCCTGAAATCACAAAATCACAGCGTGGGTGGACTGGTAGAAAATCTGGTGGGTCAGACCCATAACAATTCTCTTTGTGAGAAAATCACACTATGGACGACATATTTATTTATCAGTTTTTAAATCACCTGTGGCATTACTAAGACCAAAAGAACAAAGAGAAAGAAAAATGTATTTACTTCTCAACAGCAGTTTCCCTCCGATTGATATAACCACGCACACAAATACCTGTCAGACACAATCATTTTATCGTGCTGTGGTGCTGAATGGGTAGACCTGAATTCCACCTGGGGGTGGGGTGGGGGGGGGCAGGACCACCCAGGGGCCTCAATGCCACCACAGTAGAATACGAGAAAGTGTAATAAACTGAGTCTATATTTCTAGTAACCCTAATAGGAATTACTGCAAACGTGAATAAAACTGCATACTTTTAACTTCCATGCAGGTGGCAACACAGGTGGGACACGCTGCTGTGGGACTGTACCAGACTCTACAGGGTAACCCCAGCTGGAGAGAGCTGGCCTGGAAGTGGGACAGCACTGGGTAAGGACTGCATACAGTAGGTAACTGGACTGAATGCTTGTTCAAAAAGGTGGAGACTTTCTGAATATAATGGAGACTGGATTATTTCTTCATTTACAGTGTATAGATAAGAACCTCTGCATTCTCCAGTTTGTAAGTTCGAACCCTAAAAGCTACCTTCATTACATTTTGTGGTACTTTTTGTCTAAGGGGCCCTTGTTATGTCACTTCTTGACCTTTGAACATGTCTTGTATCGTTCAGTGATTAGACCATTTGAGCTGCAGAAATGAATGATTTTCAATGCTGATGACAGCTGAAAAGTTCTCTGAAACTAAACAATATTGGGCTACAGATCACATCGTCAAAAGTGCAACCTTGCAGGTGTATTTAGTCAACAAATAAAGTTATCATGGGCAGGCTCATTTACTTTTGATATTAGGTTTAAGTTTATATAGAGCTTATTACACTGCCTGCTTATTATAGCAACAGAAAACCAGCTGAATGATTGCATTTCTGTCTTGGAGCAAATATCAAAAATCAGTAGTTGGCAATATTCATCTGGCCAATTTAATGTCTGGTTATGGATTTGAGGGGCAAAGCTGTATGTGCTCGGCAGGATCTGCTGGGGCCCCCTGGTCACCTCCCTATGTTCTGCAGATCAAAGAAGGTGGTGATGCAGGCCACCAACACGGCACACCTGCTGGAGCTCCAGGCCCTGGCCGCCAGCCTCAGCCTACCCACATACCTGGTGCAGGACACGGGCCAGAATCTGGTAGGGTGCTGCTGTCTCAGTTCCCCTCCTCATACACATAATTAGGGCCCCAGCATTACAGTTACAGTTGTAGCTAAATGTGCTGCCAAATGGGCTGGTGGTTTCAGGAAAGGAGAAGCATTAAAGGAAATAACCTTTTGCCACACGTGCATGAATATGAATGAACTGAATATACATAATAATGTACTTCCAGTTAAAAGAGTTTGCACACCACAGGGTTTTACCACATGTCTATTTAATTCATAAACTGTACATTTTATTTTTGGTAAGCACTGGAAAGTTGAGTGAACCACTATAAATGAAAATGCAAGTCAAATAAAACAAGTTTCCTTTATAACATGGAAAGAGCATGTAACAGTGCATGTCTGACATCCTATTAACTGTCTGTGCGATGATGGCATAGTCACATTCTAGGCTGTCCTTTAACTTTAAATGCACTAGTTAACTGTTTCATCCCATGAAACAGAGCAGTATTTAGTGTCCCCTGTAAAAACAATGGCTCAGATTTTGTTTACGGTCACAACTACTAGAGAAGGTTACTTTGATGAATCAAAGATATGACATTTTCTTACTAATAAAGGTACTTAAATGGTGGACATACTCTAAAGTTATTTGTTAGCAAAGAATATTCAGTATATATTTTTGTAAAATGTAAGTAATTTAGTAAAGTTAAGTGAGTAACATGCAAGCATGTGGAGTATGTGCAAAAACATTTGACTGCTAATGTAAATAATAGAAAAATAGACAATTTCTTCTCTTGTCTAGGTGGAGCCCAACTTGCGCACGGTATTAGCCATCGTTGGGGAGGAGGAGCGAGTGAACAACGTGACTGGGAGTTTGAAACTACTTTGAGATCCGTGCTTTGCAGTGTGATGCAGTACTATAGGGCGATCTGCAGAGGGCAGCATTGCCTTCCAGCAGAGAATCTCGGCATGCAAGGGCGTCAGAATGAAACTAATGGGTATTCGCAGCCATTTTTATTCTTTTCCTTAACTTGTGACTGGCATAACCAAAAGCTGCTAAAATTATGGAGAAAAACTGTTTATTCTTTAAAACTGAGACTAGTTGAATTAAATTTAAATGAACTGTAAATGATATCCCTGTTTACCAGTTATTGTTAAATCAGGGCAATTAATGCATTTAAATAGCTTTGTTTTAATTTCAGTGTAAATGTCCTTTAAAACTCAGTTCTCAATTTTACCATGATGAAGAGGAACACCGACCCTGGAATGGTTCTTATTCATGACAGGTCAATGAGGAGCAATTCAGCGTTGGGATGCTTATGTTGTACGATCCATTGATGATTAAATGTAATAAAAATCTGCCTATAGCCCTCAGAACAAATGAAATCAGCTCTGGATTCTGTGTCCCATCTTTTCTTTCTGTATATCGCCTGACGTTTTTGCAGAGGAAGTTGTTACAGGCATGGATTTTGGGCATTATTGGCCCTTGGACTCATCCTGTCTCTCCCCCCATTTATGGTGCCCCTGGTTACAGGTCAGCAGAGGTGGGACATTCAGATCCAGAAAGTACAAATCCAGTCCAAGATTTTGTTTCAACCAACCAGCTGAGAACTCTGTGACTGTGACTCTTTAAACGCAATTGGTTGGTTGAAACAAAACCTTGGTTTGGATTTGTACTTTCTGGACCTGAACTTTCCACCTCTGTAGGTCAGAGCAAATGGACTGCAGGAGTAAACCCTCTGAGTAATGACACAGCAGATGAAAGATTAATGTTGTGTGACAGCAATTGTAGATGCAACCATGCCCTACTCCCAAATATGCAGAGTATACATATATATCTGTTTGTAGAGATAAGTGAGCAGCAACATATAGACAATATACATACTACAGCTATGGAAAAAATTAAGAGACCACAGTATATGTTTAAAACAAATCTGAATCTTGATATCCTGGTATATCCTCCTAAGACCCAAGGAAAAAAGTGTCCTTCAATTTTAGGTTATTTGTCTTTGGAGGAAATCAGACATCTTACAATTTAGATTTTTTTCAAATTTGTTTATTTTTAATTTCACAGCATGTCCTCTTTAGTGTACAACAGGAATAAATATGTTTCCTTACATCAGTGAAAAGATAGATGCAAAAACAACATGTCCACTACAATGGACATAAATGAATGGGTGGGGTCTCAGGAGGTTAATCATGGTTCTGCTGGCAGAAGCTACACTGAGCAGCAGGCTGCTTCCAGGTTCAAAATGTCCAAGACAGCAGTACACAAGAACAATTTAAAGCAGGAGACACTGGAAGTGACCAGAACCAGCCAGGTAAAGGGCGGAAGCAACATTCAAGTGCCAGAGATGACCGTTAGCTTATCCGAAAGTTTCTCATGAACCATAGGGTGACCTTCAAAAAGAATGGGGAATGTTAAGTGCAGGTGTGAAGTGCACTGCTAGGACAGTGCGTATCAGGCTCCTAGAAGCAGGACTGAAGTCCCATAAAGTAAGAAAGAAGCCCTTCATTAATGAGAGAAGAACTGGGCTACAAGTTTGCAAAAAAAAAAAGCATTATTCAAAAATGATTATTCATTATTCAAAAAGTATTATTCACAGACGCACACCCATAAATCGAGAAATTAGTGAAACAAAAAATTGCTGTGGTCTCAATTTTTTCCGCAGCTGTATATGCATCAGTCATTGCTAAAACAGTCCTATTTGTGAAAGATTTTGTGTTAAGGTCATTTTTTACAATTGTCATTTTGACCTGGTAAACAGATGGTGTTCATCTACATTGATGTGTATGGCAAAAATGATGATTATTATTATTATTATTATATTAAGGATAATATAATTATAATAATAATAGTGATAATAAGATTTACCCAGGTAGCAGAACTTATCATATTACCTGATTTATTGGAATGTAATTAATTCTTTAGAACATTCTATTTCAAGACTGTAGAGGGAACAGTAAATTACCACAGTCTCACATTTAAAATTAAATGTCATGGTGTTTTGCTACATTGCAGTGATACCACATTCATCAAGGAATCGTTTGAGGCATGCTCCTCTCTTCAAATAATGATTGAGCCCCTATTAAATGTGTGCCTTGTCAGGTTTTTACATCAGCCAGAATTACCACTAGCCTTCTAAGAGAAGTTGATCAACCAGGTAAATCAGTCAGGTTGTCATTAAAATCAAGTCATGCGTGAGGCATAACAAAAGGGACGATCTGAGGCAAGAAAACCTTATTGGAACTGATAAACTAACAAGAAAAACAAAGGGACCACGATGAGTCAAAACAGAGGCAGGATAAAAACTACAACTGAACAGGATAAATTAAACATGGGGAAAACAAACAGGAATGGGAACCACAGGCAAGAAACATGCAGGAACAAATGCAGCACATGCAGGAACAAATGCAGCACATGCAGGGACCACGCAGGACACGCACAGCACTTACAGCAAACAGAACCTAATGCGACGACCAGCTGAGGAACAAGAGAAAAGCAGGCACATAAATGTACAAACACACGCTCAGCCCATTCAGCAGCGGGGAGAGAAGGGACCTTCTCAGTGGCCCTAGGCAAAGCTTTACTTGGGAGGCCCCTCTACCACAAAAATTAAAGACCATTTCACTTCCTCCACTAGCCCATAGGAGGCGCTGGCCCTGCCCTGCATATTGCATCATGGAGAACTGAAAGCAGCGAGGCTGGAGCTGCCAGCTTCTGTGACTGTTCTGCATCAGTTAAATGATTTACAGTACCAGCGAGCTGCGGCAGGAATGACGCTGGACCAGAGATGAAATGACAGCGGGTTCTTCCCCAATAATGGCCCACTGTATTTCTGCACGTTTAGACTATGGTAGGATAGATTTCATTCTTGCATTTGTTTGGTTTGTGACTGAAGCTCTGGCTGTGCACGTCCCGGCTATGGCGTCACCGTTCCTGATGGGCTGTGTGTCTGGACAGATGACCACAGTGCAGGATTCACCTGGAGGCCTCCTTGCTCTGTTCTGAGATGAGCTGTATCCGTTTTCACGTTTGTGTTTATTACACATCCATATGAAACGGAGGCCAAAGTGCCTTAGTTTTCCATTTCTGTGTGGTCCTACAAGTACTGTGTCAGTTTGTCAGAAACAGAACGTCTACATTTCCGTATAGTACAGGCTGTGCAGGAAATATTACAGGACTCTCTGAAGGCAGTGTGCCATTCATGCCCTTGCTGGGTTGACAACTTTGGTCAGCTGGCTGGCTTGAGATTTTCAATTCGAGACAAGTCTGCACACGCATTTACAGTTTAATTACCATGTAAATACTCTGTGTGGTTTGCAAAAACCCCAACGCTTTTGATGTAACTAATTTTAGGTTTTTAATGGAATAATATAAATTTCCCGCAAGATTACTTGTGTGAGCATGCGAGTTTGAAAGCGTGAGTAACCCTGCCCTTGTGCCCTTTTATCATAGGTCAGGGTCCCCCAACTCTGGTCCTGGAGGGCCAGAATCCAACACGGTTTGCAGATTTCCCAGTTGAAACACGTCTACTAAACCTGGTAATTAACTGATTAAGATGTGATTGAGCAGGGAAATCTGCAAACTGTGTTGGATTCTGACCCTCCAGGCCCAGAATTGGGGAATCCTGTCATATATATTAATACTAGGCACACTTTTGCATTCTAATGTAGAAATGTGAGAATATTAAGACACTGAATGAAGTAAATGGATTATACATGACAGCCACGTTATGGTGTAGAATATCTAAGAATCTGAAGAATCTGGTTCAGAACACAGTGGCTCATGCTGAGAGAGTCTCATATTGAATGACAGTTTTTCACGCAGTCCTTACAGAAACATACTGGGGAATGTGATCCTAAAAATGTTTACATTTTTTCATTCAGCGTTAATAATGTTTAACAAGATAACAATATAAGCAAAATAACAGAGTGTAAAATCATCAGGGAAGGGAGCCTGTGTTGGACAAGAGCCGCCAAACATGCATAATATTTGGGTGTTTGCTGTCTGAGTTAAATTGTTTTGGCTTTTAAATCAATTTTAAGATTTGCTTTATGATTGACCAATAAAAGTTCACCTCTTAATTTTTAAAATCTTTTTACAATAAAAACAGACCTTGGGCTCACGACTCACAAGTCAGATTTATGTCTGATTTATTTAATTACTTCATATAAGCAGGCAACCATGAATAAGAAATAGCTGGCTGGATGTGGCTTTAATCCAGTGTGCAGTTGTGCTTGGCAGAGCATGGCAGTTAGAAGCTACATCCCTTCTGTTGGTAGATGATGACTAGCTTTTTGCCTCATCCAACCAGGGGGTGACAATCAGCACCTTCAATCCAAGACTGTGGCTCTCTCTTGGAGAGGCGTGCTTTGCTCCTTTCAGGTGAGGGAAGACGTGCCTCTTTTAGCTGTAGTTTTGTTCGGCTATAACAGACATGCAGGCTCCGCCTACAAGGCGCATGGCATGCCAGTGATATCCACTGATTGGTCTGTGTGGCTGTCCATCACCAGGCACGCTGTGCGTCGGCAGATGATGCTCGCAGCTGGAGAGGTGCAGTAACCAATGAGGTCAAGGTTACTACTGTACCGTACATGTATAACCACTTATAGGCCATCTGTCTATAATGGATGAGGTCCACCTTTACAAACATGCAGAAAAAGCATATATATACTCGCATGTAACGGAATTTTGCTTATAACGGACAAATAATTTGGTCCCCTATCATCTATAGACAATATTCCGTGAGTGAGTCCACTATAACGGGATTTTACTGTAATTGAAATTCTACTGAAAAAGCTCCATTGGAAGTAGTATCAGGCCACATCTGTTCTCCCACAATCATCTAAGGTCTTTGTCATTTCATGCCCCTTCGTCAAATTAATCGTAAAAGGTGAAAGTGGAAAGTTAACTTCCCAGGGTGATTATCTCTGGGCTGTAATCAGTGCACTGTGACAGAGGCTGCACACTATTTTCATGCTTACAGCCTTGAATCCATAGACATGGGATGTAAATAAAAAGGTAAACTGCTGATACTGTTTTTGTTGTTGTGATCTTTCTGAAGATTCACAGTATGATATGATACCACAAAGGCATGTGGGACACTGGGATGGAATAACCTTTGCTGACATCTGCCACCTCTCAGGACTTTATAGGCCCATCGTGTTGGATGAGCATGTGCGTAAATGCTGATTTTAAGGGACAAACACACACGTGCCACAAGTTTTACATTCACTCATGCCGGTTTTGAGAATGTGCACACAAGGAACATTGGAGGTAATATTTCACCAAATCATGACAACTGAAAAGTGCGAGCTCACAAATGAGCTAATTCAACAGACTGGGCAAACTGGCTCTTCCTAGAGTTATAACTTTACTGAACTTT